TAGGGCGCCCCGGTCACTCGGGAGCTCACGCGTTTGGCAGAGGTGCAGCTCGGCTCCAGGATCCTGCAGGCGATGGTTTGCGCCAATTTGGCCTCCAATTCACCAAGGGGCAAGCCAACAGGGGATGGATATGCTTTCCCATTTCCAAATATAGAAATGAGCAGACGATTTGGGGCTGGGATGGGGCTTGTCCCTTGAACACGTCTTTCCCTTCGGTTCCGGTCAAGGAAGGACCGCCTGGAAGGGAATTGGGAAGCAGTTGGGACTGGGAGTTTGAGTTTCGAAAACAAGCAGCGGCCCGGCGTGTCTAATGAAGGCACATTTTTTGGAAGGCGAAGGGAAGCCGGACATTTTAAAGAGGATTTCCATATGGAAGCAGCCTTGGCCAAAGCTCCGGATACCACCCCAAAAAGGGTCCCAAAGAGAGGTGTAGGATGAAAAAAAGCAGCGGGAATTGGGTGTGTCTCTTTTTAGGCGAGACCCCAGATGGATGGGTTTCCTTTTGGTTTCCCTTCAACACCACAAAAAGGAGGTAGCCTCAAAAAAGACACACCGGAATGGTTCCAGTTTGTCTGCGTCTTGTTTCGTTCTTTGTCTGCCTAGTTGGTGTGGCTTTCCCTACAGTTTGCGTTTTGACACAACTGTTGTGCAAGGTGGATTTGCCCAGATGCTTCAAGAAGAAAAATGCTTGGAGGGTGGCATTCTTGGGATGGTTTCGAAGCAATGGTTGCCAAGCTGCTCTAGTTGGGGGCGACTAAAGGATTTCCCCCAAAGTGGTTTGACTTTCTTTTGTTTGCCTTTAACACAGCTTTTCAAAAACAACTCTATTTTGCCAGACGTCTGGGTTGTTTTGAGTAGAGAAATCGGGAATTACTGTATTGGTGGCCAAAGTAAACCCAAAGGACACCGGCAGAGTTGACAGGGCAGAGTCAAAACCCATGAAAGATAAAGGCCGCATGACAAAGGTTGCCTGATATTCTCAACCATAAGCGGGCTTGCTCCTTTTCCTTACTTTGGTTTGGAGACTCCTGTGATGCCTTCTGTGGACTGAGGGGCTTTCTTTCAGTGAACTGAGCCCTTTGTAACTCGATAGTCTTCCAAATCCCTCGGGCACCGATCGTCGACTTCTGCTATTGATAGAAGAGAGTCCCGGGGGAGAGTCTGGCAGCGTGCGCGCGATTCTCTTACTTTCAGCAAGAACGGGGGAGGGGGGGTTCTCCCATTCCACCCCACAAATGAAAGTGGCGAAAACATGGGGCAAAACGAACCTTGACGTGCATGATGGGTTTGCCCCCAAAACCCCTTCTCTTTTTGCGTGTGTGTGTGTGTGGTTTGAGGCCAATACTTCTGAGGCCAATTTGCAGGGAGAACAAATGGACACCGGAAAGCCACGATTTGGCAGTCCCTCCAGATTGGCACATACCTTCTTGTGGGTGGACCAAATCCTGCACCACTTTGAAACCATAGCAAACCATCGTTGTTTGGTATTTACAGGGGAAGCATCACCCCAGGTTTTTTTTTAGGTGGTGCAGGATTTTGTCCATCCACAGTATTTGTGGGCCCGTTTGAAAGAGGACACCATTGGGCTACAGGCACCGGTGCCGCCGTTGCGGCTGGGACCATGTGGGGTTGTCTCGAAATGAGGGGAACCCCAAAGATGGCAGCGGTTCCGTTTGGTTTCCCTGTAGAAACAAAAAAGGGGTGCCTCCCCAAAAAGAAACGCTCCTATGAGGCAATGTTGGGGCACGAACTTATTTGTTACTCCCAAGCTTTGCCAGGCCATTCAGGACGAGCATACCAATGCTTGCCTGCAAGGCGGAAGGGGAAGGTCGGGGTGGATGCTTGTTGAGCAAGCCGGTCCAAGTTCCGCGCCTGGAGTGGACACAGTTGCCCGAGAAAGCCAGGTATTTGGAGCGGAGAATTATCCACAACTTTTGGCGTTTTGAAATGGAGGAGCCATATAAGTCGTTCTTGAATTTGGCGATGAATCCCAGTAATTGGTAGGAACATCACTTGAGGGGGCCTCAAATTGAGGGAGCCTCAAATAGGCCCCCCCCCTTATGTGGTGGGGTAACCAAAGGAAGCAACCGTTTGTCGGGTTCGCTCGGTCGCATCCAGTCCATGGTCAATTTCGGAGGGACGAGTCACTTTTGGACGAGCTTTCTATTCTTCATTCACGGTTTTCTTTCTCATGCTTTTAGCAGTACTTCCCCATTCCTTCCAGCTTCTTTCGGAGCATGTGCAAACAGCGGGGGAGAGGTGGAAGGGTTCCCACGGTTTTTGAAAAGAACGCTGGGTGGAAAGAGTGACAGGGTGAAAGTCGATGGTACTATTCTCTTCATGTCTGCAAATGGACATGGAAATGAGGAGGAGTTGTGCTGTCTACTTTGACCCAACTGTGGTCACAGCCAAATTGGGGTCATAAAATAGGCCCCGGCTTTTTGCTGGTTTTCCTCTTGGTTTGCCTCTAAACAGGTTACCCACAAAAACGCGCGCCATCTGCTCGATTTCGGATTCATTTCGGTTGGAAGACTAGGCTTCATCTTCCAGGAGGAGCAGCACTGCACCCATCGAGAGGCGGGACGTGCGCGGCGTGGACACGCCGCACTCCAAGAAACACGATGCGGTGGATGCCCTAAATATTGCAAGGAAATTAACCAATCATAAATCATGGGAGTTGGGGTTTCCCTTGTTTCCTGCTTGCAATATTTAGGGTATCCGCCGTAATGTTGACCTCGAACCGATAAAACCATCCTAACAAAGACAAGGATTCCCACTAAAAGGGACACCCCCTATTAATCAACCAGGTTAAGGAAATTCTATAGGAATTCAGTTTGTTTTTGGTGGCTGGCCAATGTTCTCCAGATTTTCCTGGTGGTTTCTACCAATTGGTGCAGGAGACATTCAGGTGGTTTGTATAAGGTGGCTGTTAAGTAGTGCCCAAGACTGGTTGGGGTTTTTGCCTCGGGCCTTTTTTTTAACAGACAGGGAGAGACAGAGAGAGAGAGAGAGAGAGAGAGAGAGAGACAGAGAGAGAGAGAGAGAGAGATAGAGAGAGAGAGAGAGAGAGAGCGACGAGGTCGCCCCGTTCCGGCCACGCTCCCGTTGACCTCTTTGTGTGCCGCAGAATTTTCGATCTTTTCGCTCAAACCCCGATTGCAGCACCATGGCACCTGCTTCATCGCGACTTCTCGGCACAGGCGGGGTGTTTGAAGGGGGCTGACGACGCTGCCTTGCTTGCTTTTGCCAGTGCTCTGCGGCTGGCGAAGCAACCGATGAGGGCAGAGGTATTATGCTGATGGACTTTGCGTTTTCGTTCACAAGTTGCGCAAAACAAGTCTGAGAATCCCTCTATCAAACGCCATACTTGCTGTCTTGGTTAGCCTTGGAAGCTTTCGGGGGCCCATTGCGTGAGTGAAGGGTTGAAGAGTCTGGGGGAACACCCATCTGACTGCTGCACACAGAAGCACATTGACTCAGTGTTTTCTGATGGCATGTTGCATCTCCCAACTATGCTCGATATGCTTGGGAAAGTTTTAGGTTATGGCTTTTGAACTAGTTGGAAAGGGTCATGTGGGAAACCAGCGTGACAATCAGGACAAAATCGAAAGGGTGCTTCTTAGGGTAACATCAGGTTTCAAACCGTCGATGTTCGATGCTATCTGGGCAATTACAATAATTCACCAAGCAAAAAAACGTATCCCTCTGATCTAAACATGACCCTTTTCGGCCTTTGTGCCTTCACTATCCAACTAGTCCAAAAGCCACAAACTAAAACCTGTCATGGGGTTTTGGGTCATGGGTTTTTTGGTTTTAGCTCCCCCCCCCAATAATTCACCAACCAAAAAATAAGTGATTCCTCTGACATGGTGCCCTTCCCCTAGTAACCCCCATAGAGGCCTAGGGGCCTTGGCCGTTGGGTCCCGTTTTGGGCGACGCCCAGGCGTTGCCCTTGGCCTCGCGGGCGCCTTCGTGGCGCCTTCAGGGCGCCCGGCCACGCAAAACCGCGCACCGGCGGAGCAGCGTCCTGCGACAGGCGGGGAGGGGCGGGGGGGGGAGGGGGTTGGTATCCCCGTGGGTTGGTTGCGAAATCCATTTCGCGCCACTTGGAAACCATGGGAAGCGGTTGTTGGGTGGTTTCTTGGGTGGTGCGAAATGGATTTCATCCATCCGCAGTTTCTTCAAATAATGAAACCCCCAACATGAGTTGGGTTCATTGGTTTGGTTGGCAGGTAGGTTGGTTTCCACTAGTGCAGGCAGACAAAGCACAAAGGCCCCACAAAAATAAATGTCCCGGATCGCCAATCTTCCCGTGCCAAATGAGGAAAACCAGGGATCTTGTCATGTCTTAGAGTCCAGTGTTCGGCCTGGGGCGCGCATGGTTCAAGCTGGGCATGGGACCCAACCACTGGGGTCGTAGTATCCTTTGGGTGTGGCTTTTGGGAGTTGGTACCCTTTTGAGGGGTTGGTACCAGGGGAAACACAGGGGAAGTTTGTTTCAAAATCGCAGACCTCCCCTGAACTTGGTTTACCATCCCAAGGGGGGGGCCATGATTTGGTCGCTTCCTAAAACACACAAATGGCCCCCACCTGTGGCATTTGAGTGTGTTTTGGGCTGAACAATGGGTTGATTTCCTGTTGGTTTCCTCCATAAAGAGGGCAATTGTGGTATTTGGACAATGGCTGCGCCAGGTACGACATCCGCTGGCACGATGCTCGTCAGCATGGGCGGGTGGAGATAACCTCTGGCAAGTTGATGGGGCTCCGCTGGTCTCACTTTGGCTCCAATCATTTGGGTATGGCGTTTCTTGTGTTTTGGCGTTGACCCTCCAAAAATTGTGCTTTTCTCTTTTGGGTTTCGTGGTAAAACTAGAAAGAAGAAGGCCACACCAAGAAGACCCACCGACATTTTTTCAGGTGCTTCAGCTTCAGCTCGCAACTCGCCGCCTTTGCCGCAGCTCTTTCCGGTCCCGGATCACCGAACACTTACGCTCTACGCCATGGTTGCCATGCGCGCGGGTCTCTTGCTGGCGGCGGTTTGCTTGGTCGCTGCGCAGGACTGTGAGGATTCTACGTTGCTGCAGAAGAACCTCAAGCATGTGGAGGCGCTCGGGTTGTTCCAGCCCACCCCCTCCAGAGAATTGGGTGGGATCTCTTTGGATGACTTTAGATCTGGTTCAAGAAAGGTAGACCAGAGTCCACCATCTTATATTTGGTCGGACAAAGCTGAGGGCTGGTTTCTTGACTGTTTCGCTTGCGTTTGCTGGACTCAGCGCGCCGCAGCTCGTGACACGTTATAATCGCCCTTGACCCAGTTTGGCTTGAATTTGCTTTGTTTCCACCATACGTCACCCAGGCCAAGCCGTCTGAAGTTGCAAACCCTTTCTCTTTTTCTCCTCAGTTTCCCATAGCCCAACTCAGCAGATAAGGTGGGCAGAGCATCAACCGGATGCGGCATTGGGTCTGAAATGTGTCAGACGCGTCCACGCGCCATGTGCGCCATGTGCGCCATTTGCGCCATGTGTGTTGTGTGGCCTCCAATTTGGTGGACCACATGTGCCATGCTCAAAACACGTCTTGAAGCACGGCCTTGGGAGGGTGCCCAAGCCTTCGTTCCTTTCCCGTGTCACGCCTAGAGGCCCACCCCTTTACCTTTTGACCATGGCCCCCTCCTTCGCCTCAGGCCCCCTGGGCCACCAGTGAACGGTATGTTGTAGGATTCCGCAGACCCATACGTGATGCCCTTACACACCCTTGCATACCCTTCACATCAGGCGCCTTTCCCTCGACCCCCGCCAAGTTGCCATGGGTTGTCCAACTCCCTCTCTGCGGTCTAACCCCCTTCTCTTCGCGTCGCTCCTCAGCTCACGATGCCAAAAAAGTTGGTTCCTTCGCCAGTCTTGCTGTTATTATGAGCCATCCCTAGTCGTTTTCTTCAAGGGATCCCGAAGCCGTTCATCTTTAAAGTCCCTATTGATTTGCTACCCCCCGCCCCCTGGCCCATCCGAAAGTATTTTTCTTTGATGCCAAACAAATCCGCCGGTTGTTCGCTCGCCCTTTGCTCGCCAGCTGGCAAAGCACAAGAAGCTGGTCCCGGCTTTCATGGCCATGGCGGGTCTGCAGATCGCGCAGATGACGCTGAGCGCCACCACCCAGGCGGTGGAGAAGGCAAGGTTTGGCGGGGGGGGTAGCGGTGTGGTTTGGGGAGGGGTGCAGACTCAACGCCTGGACAAGAGGTCAAATGGGGGGGCGACAATTGAAAATAGGGTGCCCCTGTCAGGAGAAACCAAAAGGAGCCCCCTAGAAAAACAACACCCACATAGGCCCAAAGTGTCCATCATCATGGAAGAGGACGATCGGAGAGTTTTGGAAGACGAAAGCTTTCCCCGAAGTGTCCACTTCCTTGGTTGGTGTAGAGACGGACACCGAGTCGCTCGGGAAAGGTGACTTAGGCCCAGATTCCTTTCAGGGACCCTGGGCAAGGGAAGCATGGGCTGTAAGTGGCTGTGTGTGTTTTGTTTTCTTCTGGGAAGCGCCTTTTGGTGGGTCTTTACGAGAGCAGCCCAAAGGAGTTGGTGCCCTTTTTCGCGTTCCATTCTGCCCCTGCCCAAATGGCTGCAGTTTCCTTTTGCCCTCTTGGCAGGAGTACGTTCCCCAATTCAGGCCTCCGTACATGAACGGCCACACAACTGTAAATGGCTGGTCTTGACAAACATGATGAGGACAACGACTGCGAGAAGGGCCAAAGGATATCATCTTTCCTCTCATCTGGACAAGGCCATAGTCCAGCTAGGTTGGAAATTGGTTTTACTTCCAGCAGAAGGAGATTAGGAGACGGAGACCTAATCCCGAACCTTTCCTATGCAGCTTTACAGAAAACAGCCACAGGCCTGGGCCAACCTACGGAATTTTCCGTCGCCAGCCCATCTTTTAAAGATTGGTGACGACTTCAGGTTGGCTTGAGCCCAAGTCAGGCCTTCGGCTTTGCCCACAAGCCTTCCATCTTGGGTCTGGCGTCATTGTCACAAATCAAGAGCGCATGGGGGGAAGAGGGGCAACTTTGCAGGGTCTTGGTTGAAAACAACTTTTCAACGGGTACCAACAGAAATGCCGAGCGACCCTTCAAAACATGCAAAATGCCGACTCCAACAAAACGTTGGGACCACCCCGCAAACGGGCAACAGTTCCACAAAAGCCCCTTCCAACACCCCCACACAGGGCACCCGCTCCTCCTTACCACCCGCAAGCTGCGGTTCTGCCAGAGAAGTTGGGCGCATACTTTTCAGGGATTGGGACGTCACCGGTTTCGCCTGTCAAATTTCCCTTGTGTGATGTTTGAACGGACATACCGGGAACCTAAGACTGCCTTGATGGGTCCCTAACCCTGAACAAGCAATTGCGTCGATGCAATCCTGCAAAAAGGGCATGTGCGCAACCCAGACAGCAAGTGCAGAAGCCACCTTGGCGCAATCCTGAACCTTCGAAACAACATTTGCGCAACCCTGAAAACAGGGGCGGAAAACACCTTGGCGCAATCCTGCAGAAAAAAGCTGAAACTTCGATACAACCTTTGCGCAGGCTCAACCCTTCCGTTTGTTGCCTGCTTTTCCGAATGGGTCAAAATAGGCTTGTCCTGGTAAATGTGACCCATATCCACACGGGCCTGTCGTGTTTTAGGGAACCCCCGTGTTTGTCCTTTGGTTTCCCTAGAAACCATCAGAGAAGGGGTACCCCCCCAAAAAAAGGTGAGACACACCTCCCCGCCAAGAAAAGAACCCAACACAACCAACAAAGTGGTTGTCTTTTTCCCTTTGCTTCGCCATGATCAAGATCCTTTACTTGGGGATCCCTGAATTCAGCTTTTGAACAGATTGTAAAATTTATATATATATATATATACATATATATGGTACCCCCCCATGGACCCTGGTTTCGTGCGTTTGACCTGTATTTTCCAGCGTTTTATGCTTCTTTTTGCTTCTTGGATTTGTGTCAAAATTGGGGGGGGGTCATACATGTATATGATACGCATGCATGCATGCATGCAGATGTGATAAAAGCAATGACATCATCGTATTTTGAATTTCCTTGTAGAAGTCCCTTAAATGTTTGTCCATATTTAATATGAATTATATTTGAGATGTAGTAGTCTCTATTCACTTGATATTATCAAAAATAATTTGAGTTGTGTTTGTCTTAGATGATATTCAACACTTGGATTATATATTGGGAAACACTTCCATCTAACTTCTTGTGTTATAGATTAGTTGGAGCTTAGCTGAATATATATATATATATATATATGTACATTTTCATTTGGCTGCTACTTGGACAGGATTTGCTTGTTTAAGCTGTAATTGAACATAAACCCTTTTTTGAAACCTATATCCTTACTAAACTAAAATCAACATTTCAATTCTAGTTGAAGTAACATCTTGTTTGGAAAGGGTATCATACTGGGACATTGTGGAGGACTCCGGGCTCCAAGTTATCACGCTTTGGGGACCCACAATTGGACATTTCGAGAATATAAATTTGAAATTCTAGATTTGCCATCCCCAAAAGGCAGTAAAACCAGGATCCTTGGGGGGGGTTGCATATGTATATATAAAAATATACATATTTACACATATACATGTGTGGTTCCCTCTTTTTTGCCCGCCTGGTAGGCGGCCACCGCCGTGGGGGAGCAGCTGAAGACGGTGGAGGTGGGCCAGGTGGAGAAGGTGGAGTCGGCCCTGGGCGGCCCGGACCTAGCTCAAGCCACTTAGGTCGTTGCCATTGGGAAGGGGAGGATCCTCCCCCCGGTTTTTTGTTTGAAGCCTACTAAGTACCGGTTTTTTGCACTTTCAAGCCTTAGCGGTCAGAACTTGACTAAATCTGGGCCAGAACCAGACATTTTGTATTTGGTTGGGGGCCAAAGCTGGGGTAGCTTTGGGCACTCCCCCTTGTAAGGCCATATACGCGCCGTGGTCAAAAGACCTTCTTCTTCGAGGTTGGTGTGGATGATCATCGGCCCCTCAGGGATTTTAGACAATGTTAATGACCCCTAATGGAGCCATGGCAAGGACGCCACAGATTCGGAGTGACGCTGGCGCACATTCAAGGCACGCTCTTCGGGGCCATGCAGACGGAGCTGGAAGCGGGCGTCGGGCAGGCAAGGGAGTCGCATAAAAACGTGGGCGTATCTAAGCAGGATCCTTCACTTGAAGCAACCTCCTCAGTGAAATAAGGGCTTCCCGCTTTCTCACTCCCACCTATTTTTGTGGTTGTCCCCTTCTTTTGTGTACCCACCCAAATCTTAATATTTTCACCCTCTAAATCAATCCGCAAGAAAAGAAAACACACGTTCGACAGAGGAGTCTGTGGGACACGATCTCCTCCAGTCTTGGGTGGATCATTGGATCGGTTTTGGGAAGATCTTCTCGCCAAGCTGGCGGGTAAGCTGGCTGAAAGGGTTTTCCCCAGGTGGCTCTCAGGGTGAAAGGCTCAAAACCGTGGGCAATATTTGTTTACACAATCAGACCACCCTGGTCAGACCCTGGTCAGACCCTGGTTCCATTTGAAGGGACACCGGAAGGATGGCTTAAACTTTGTTTCAACAAAGGGCTGGCCGAACCTGGATCGCTGGCAGCTCAGAATTTGGAAATCGGGTTTGCCGTTCATGCAAAAGGAGAGACTAGTGGTTCTCAAATGACGTTTAGAGGATTGACCTTTCGACCTGGACAATTTGAGAGGCTTCTTGAATGACGGGTTTCTAGAGAATTCGGTTCGCATTTTTCAGATTCCAAAAAGGGAGGGTGACTCGCTCAAAGCGCTTCCCTTTGGCTTCTTTTTTAGAGTCTTCTACCCGTTTAAGTCTTTGAGGTTCGTGATCCTACTTGTGAGATATGTATCTCTTTTAGGTGGGTTTTGTAGTTTTTGTGATTCACCCATATGTTTTGTTTGTCTGCCCTCTGTCCTGTGGAAAGGAAGTGGACCGGGTGACAGGGGACAATTCTTTGGGGGTGTGGGGGTAGACCTTGTCCAGAAACACACACTTCACCGGCAAAAGCACACCCCCTTGGAGAGAATTGCGTAAAGGTGTATTACAAACTTGTCCTTCACCCAAAGCTGCGCCCTAGATATCCATCTACTTTAAACCCCAGCAGTTCATGCGACCCGGGCAGGTGAAGGATGGCTTGGGCATGCAGGGCGGCATGGAGGACGCCGTGAACCAGCTTGAGGACGGGTCAGCGCTGACAGCCGCCTTCAGCTTCCGACCTGCTGGGCAGGTTCTGTGTTCGGGTAATCATAATCCTGAAAATGTTTTTTTGGGGAGCTGTTTGCGTGTTTTCCCTCTGTTTTCTTGTTCTCTGCAAAAGTGATAGCTCTTTGGTTTAAAACATCTCCTGGGCTGATCTATCTTGAGTTTCCCTCTGGGTGCTTAAGCACTTCAGGGGCAGCTTAGACCTATCGATTGTGAGGAAGGTTTCCTTGAAACTCTGCTTGGGGTTTCGTAATTCAGGTGAACCGGGGGAAAATAACGCAGGGAATTGCGTCCGTGCCATAGTCGAGGAAACGCAAGAGGTATTGTTAGGGATGTTGCTCGGGTTTTTGTGTGCAGGTGCAGGCTGTATCCAGTTCATTGCTTCTGTGTGTGTTTTCTTTTGGGGGGACATTTGTGTTTGTGCTTGTGTTTGAGGGTACCCTGTCTGTGGTTGACTTGAAGGTACACACTTGGGCTTCAGCCCCTTCGTTTTCTGATTTTTGTGCCGCCCAAGCACATGCCCATGCTTTGGGAGTAAAGTTCCATATTAGGAGTGTGTGTGTGTGTGAGGTTCGGTCAACACAGCAGGCCGTCCATACTTGAGGAACATGGGGCACTCTGCAAATTTTCCACAGCCAAGAAATTCTCGAACTGTTCAATTTCCGATAACCTGAATATGGACCACGGAGCATGTGATTGATTCATGCCTCAGTTGCTGGTGAGGCTTGTGTTCCGGGGATGCCACAACTCGCCCCCCAAAATCGGCAGGTTCTGCCAAGATTTCATGGGTTTGTCTGCAAGGGTTGCCCCCGAGTGCCTCCAAAAAGGACACCCGCAAGGCCAACTCGGGGTCCCCAAAAGATACATTCCACAATCTGATAATGTTCAACGCCAAAAATTGAATCCTCAGGCCACCACGGGGGCTGCTGTGGGTGGCAAATTCGTTGGTTTTCCTTCGGCTTCCCAAAACCCCCCTCTAGCGGTAGCACCAAAAAAGGCAAACGACCAATCAGGTCAAGCTCCGGACTCCTCAAAAGATGCATCCAATCTGGTGCTGGCCAAACTCATGTGTGCCTCCTCAGGCGAGCATGGGCACCGCCACGGACGTGATCTCCACATTGAAAAGCTCGTGCACCTCGCAGGCGACGCGGGAACGACGCTTTGCGCCCCAAAACGCCGGAAGCGTTCTTGACTCCATGGGTAACCTAGACAAGGGTATGTGGGTTCGACTCAAAGCGAACTCCCCCCCCCAACAAATGTTTGATTCTTTGGTTTCCATTTACAGCCAACCAAAAGGGGGTTCCCCCAAAAAGACATACCCATGCGCCAAAATGTCTTTGGTTTCTCTTTAAACCAACCGGAAAAAAGGCACCATCAAAGCAGCACAGATGTGCCATTATCACCGGGACCTCTAGGCGAAGCCACGGTCAAAACTCCCCTTGGCTTGGGCTGATAGAGATGCTTATCAACCGGTTGATAGGGACTTTAGGCAACCAATGTAAAGATTCGTAGTAAGGAAATATGTACCACGACGCACATGAGGAGTAAACAAATACACTTGTGGATGGAAGCCAATAATCCTTCTGAGAGGAATCTGCCCCTTTCTCCAAGCCCGGCTTTGTTCTTTTGCGAATCGTGCTGGTACTGTGCTTGAACAGGCTGTTGGCCCAAGCCTTTCGCCGGCCTTGGCATTTATCAAACCTCTCCCGGAATTTAAGAGGCGCTGGCTACATGGGTACAGGTCAAGATTAAACCACCAGGGGTTCGCAGGTTTTAGTCCATGTTTCCATTTACTAGCGTTCCATTTTGGGGTCACCCTATGATTGACCCACATCCACATGGGCCCCAGAGGCCCCGCAGCCGCTTTCTTAAAACTCATTCAGGTCGAAAAGGAAGCTGCGTGGAACATCTCGACATATCCGACAGCCCATGTTCCTACCCGGATCTTAGGAGCCCTTTGGCGAAGGGATGCCTTCCTTGTGGCTTAGAACTTGGGGCTCCAAGATGCTTTTTCCTCTGGGTCCCATGTCAAATGGGAAAAGGCCAAAACTTTGTGTAGCCCCCAGCTGTTCAATCTTTTTGAGGCACACCCACTTGACGGCTTCCTTTGGATTCCCCTCGGAAACACGACACCCCCCCCCCGCCCCCCGAGCTGCCAAGCGACCCTCGCCTCCCGGAGTCTGCGGCGGGCAGCTGCGCCGCGGCGAGCGCGGAGATGAGCAAGGATCTGCCGGCAGCCTTCAAGGAGCGGCCCACGGTGGATATGACGCGTCAACTGGAGTTGATACCCCCTCTCTTTTCATCTGGGTATGGGTCAAAATCAAACCACCAAACAACCGCAGGTTTTAGTCCATGTTTCCATCTACCAGGGTTCCATTTTTGGGTACCTATTTTCGACCCACACCCATGTGGCTTTAAAAAGGGGAAACAAAAGGAGAACTGAAGGATAGGGAGGGGTTTCGCAAAATCGGAGTCCATGTCCTATGGCCACGGTTTCCTGTAGTTCCCTCTGAAATGCCCACCAAATAGGGGTCCACAAAAACCGCGGGACGAGGCCCTAGATTTCCCATGTTCAGTAGGATAACAGTAAATGTTGAGTGTATCACGGGGAATATGCGTATGAAATCGTACTCACAGCAATCGGGCTTTTGTGAGGGCAGGAAGACTGGGAAGGTTCATTCATTCTCTGGTCCCCGAATTGGAATAGGGGGCTTGCTCCAAGCCTCAAGATTGAACGCATGGTATTTCTTCCTGTTGCTCTCCTCATCGGGTTTTGCATTTGGTAAGTACACCCAGGGGTTACTTATGCACGCACCTGGGATTCACAGAAACGGACCTGGGAGGTTGGAGGTTTGGATGTGAGGCTGCATGTTGGCCTCATCCAGACAAAACCAACACACAATAGGGCCTTTTTAATATGTTTTTTGGGGTGGGGGGTGGGGTGGGATCAGTTTTATGTTTTTCCTTTTTTTCTCACTGTTTTTTTTGGTTTTTAGTAGGGCTGGGTTGGTTGGTTGGTTGGTTGGTTGGTTGGTTGGTTGGTTGGTTGGTTGGTTGGTTGGTTGGTTGGTTGGTTGGTTGGTTGGTTGGTTGGTTGGTTGGTTCGCTTGCCGAATCCCCGGCATCAACAGCCTCACTTGGCCCGGCGGTTGCCTATTGGCTCTGATTGGGAAGCAGTTGGGAGTTGTTGGGGACTGGTTTAAGTTAGGGGAGGTTTAGGCTGGCTTAGATCTTCATGAGGGTGGGTCTTGGGGTTGATTTGGGCGAAGCGAAGGGCTGACATCCAGGCTGCTGTTGGGGGCGGGTTTACTTTTGACTTTGGGTGGATTTGGTGTTGGCTGATTTGTGTTGGGTGTGCTGCTGGCTAAGCGGTGCCTTTGCTTTAGGGATGTGGTTACGTGAGTTTTGGTCTCGTTTAGGATTGGTTTTGGAGCTTGCCCACTCACGCAACTTTCTTAAAGCAACCCGAAAGGCGCCGCTTAGCCAGCAGCACAAACACAAATCAGCTCCAAGCCAGCAAATCCACCCGCCCAGCCGCCTGGGAGTCAGCCCCTCGCCCTAAATCAAATCACCCCAAGAACCCACCCTCAAGATCCAATCCAGCCCCCTACTCCCAACTGCCTCCCAATCAGAGCCAATAGGCAACCACCGGGCCAAGTGAGGCTGTTTATGCTGAGGATGTTGCCAGCCCTGCGGAAAACCAGCAAGAGGAAAAAACCAGCCCTACGAGAAAGAAAACACAAAAACACCTCTACCAGAGGGGCTGTGACATAGAAACAACATTTGAGGCGCCTTTGCAACAAAGTTCCTTAGAGGTTGCAAAACAGACCAAAGAGCCTCGACTTTTCCACTGGTTTCCTCAAATGCAGAGCATCCGCTAGGTTTGGCTGTTGGGAAGGTTGGACTCTGCATGAGAAGTAGGCACGTCCCATTTCAGACGCCGGCTTCCAATGGGATGAGGGCCCAACAAGAAGTACTGCACGGGTCCCCCAAAGTGCTAAGCGCCAATTTCTGGTCCTGAAAGGTGGCAACAGGACAGCGAGTTTCGGGGAGTTTACATGGGGGGCTTCAACTGTGATCCCGAGTCAGGAGTTCCTGCAAACGGCGTCTGACGACCTGTCGAACATCGTCTTCCCCTGGGAGAAGGCAAGGGTCCACATTTGGATGTGGTTCATGGAGCTGGCCATTTGATTTCCGGGAACCCGGAACTCCCTTCCGGCCATGCAGCCATGCAGCCATGTGGAAAGCATCTAAGTGAATCCGGGGCAGTAAGAGTCCATATCGGCCCTGGAGAGTTCTCGCAGCCTGTACAAAAAATGTTGGGGTTCATTTAAAGCAAGCCGTGATTATTATTTTTTTTGCAGCGATAGAGTCACTCAAGCCCAAAAGTTCCCGACCGGGCAACTGGGAAGCTACTGAAAGGGTTTGGCCAATCGCCCGGTTTGAAGAAACTCCCCCCCACCAAGCCAGGTTGTTTTCAAGAATCGTTGCGGGGAACGGGGCCCAACCCCAACCCGCTGAGCATTTTTTTACCATCGCTTGAATCCCTGCTTTGTTCCCGTATCTTCTCAGGGGAATGAGACGCAATATGCAGGATTTTGTGCGATCGTGGCTTTTTGTTTTCCTGCAAACAACAAGCTATTCCTGACTCCCCTGATAAAAACCCTTCTGCCAGGTGGTTTTTCAAGTTTGTGGGAGGTGTTTCTGGATTTCTCGCTGCCCCCCTTTTAAGAGGATGGCAGTGCCAAAACCTTCTTGCCCACTATGTTGGAAAGAGGGGGAGAATCGAAAATCGCATCGTTGGTTGCTTTTCTTTCGATTGTCCCTTTGGATCTCTCTCTTTCCAGCCAGGGCTCCCTCCCCCCCCCGACTCCCACAAAACCCAACCATCGGTTTTCGCATCGAGCGCGCGGCTTTCAATGCGATCGCGGTAGGATACAGTGACATCCTACAGCACCTCCGAGATGCCCAAGAGCCCTTGCTTGAGAACTGTTCAATGGTCGCTGGCTGGTCATTTTTTGTTTTTGTTTTTTTTTAAAGTTGGTGCCCCTTTTTGTAGAGTAGGTTTTCAAGGGAAACCGAAAGGAGAACCACTAATTTGGGGGGTTTCCTGACAAAAGGACACCCTTACTTTGATTCTGTCAGAAAAACTGGGTGGTTGTGAGTTGTGTCCCCACTTCAGTTGCCCTCACCTGCCAGCCACTGTGCAACGGTTTTCGCGCGTTGCTATGGCGAATGGGATGACCGGAAGGTATAAGGCAAGTATCCGCTTTCGCCGGGAATCGATTCGAGACGTTCGATGGTTTCCTTCACCGACCAATTTTCCACCCTTGTGGTTGAGGGACCAACACCAAGGCTTTCATTTGTTGTCGGCTTTGATGACATTCGCTCTTGTTTGCTGGGTTTTTAAATGGAAGTGCGACCGAGGACCGTGGGCATGGTGGAGGGCATGTGCAAGCAGGTGGCAGACGTCATCGTGGCTTGCCGGCCTTCGGCCAGATGTGACGCCCTCTTGTTGAAGATATGTTCTGAATGACTTAACACATTCAAAGGGGAACCACCGTTTTGTTTTTTCTTTGTCTCGGGGGGGGGGGGGCGAAGGGGGATCACTTTCGCAGACGACGGATCATTGGAACTGCACGAACTTGTGACACATATTGATCTGGAGGGGCGTCGTGTTCAAAGCAAGCTGCAGATTGCGGATGGTTTCATGCTTTCTTGTTGCCTCCCTTTAACACGCTTTCACGCTTATTTCAAACAGTTCAGTGGACCGTTTCACGGGTACTGGTTTCATGGTCTATTCGACAGTTTTGAATCAGGTTCCCTTGCTTGATCACAGGCAAGCCCCTATAGTGGTCCTTTGTTGCCTACTATGCAGGAATGGCCTTCTAGTCATTCAAGGATGGTTTCCCTTGTTATTGCTACCCAGAGGGGGAATTGAATGGCAACCCTTCGCAATGTTCCGCCAGTTTGTAAAGGGTGCCGGATTTTCTGGACTGGGGCATAGATGAGTCAAGGACGTTCCGATTCTTGAGTTCCCATTAGCCAAAAGGAAAGAACTTGAGAAAACCGTTTCCTGTTTTGTGAACTTCTGGAAGTTCTCTCACCTTTTGTCTAAGGACTTGGCTGGCACGAAGCTGGCCCCTGCCGCCGCACCTGCAGCCCCTCCAGCTCCTCCAGCCCCTGCCGCGTGAGAACCGCCCAATTTGCCAGGCGATCTTTTCCGACGGAACATAGGCCGCCGCGCTCTGTTCGGCGGAGATGGCAAAAGGCCGAGTCGCGCGTGGCTTTTGTGGGGTCGGGGAGAAGTTCCTTGTGAGCCAAAGGGGGAGAGGGAGGGGGAGAGGGAGGGGGCGAGGGAGGGAGGGAGGGAGGGAGGGAGGGAGGGAGGGAGGGAGGGAGGGAGGGAGGGAGGGAGGGAGGGAGGGAGGGAGGTCTTGGGGAACAGTTTAGTACCACCTGAAAATTAAAAGAACAATCATAAATCCGCAACTTTACAAGACTCCCAAAACCTGGAACAAAGTAAAGGACCTACATAGGTTTTCGCTGTTTTACCCCAAGCTTTGCCATACAAAAGGCAGACATATGCAAATCTGATTCCATTTGTCTTTGATCTGTAGCATTGCTTTGTTCCCTGCTGCTTATCTTGAAACATGTTCCCTGCAGACAGGGGTAGCAAAGGAGGAGCTTGACAATGCGGATCTTTGGCTTTGTTCCCCCCCCTTCCCACACACACACACACCCACAGAAAGACTTTGTTTGCCTGTAAACACACAAACCAAACAGGGGATGCAAAAGGAGGATGGATTCCCCCCAACAACTCATGGGCGTCAACGGGTTTTGCATTTCTTTGTGTGCCGCCCAGTCCCAAAGGCTACAACCTTCTCCTGGACAGACTGAGGGTTCAGATCCGGGTGGAAGGGTGGAAGGGTTCAGATGGCTGCCATTTTCCCCCCAGCGGCAAGGTCTCAATGGGCAGGAACCCTCCAGGCCTTTGGGGCGCGCCCACACACAGACATCCTTCCGTTCGACTTCTCGCCCGAGGACCGGAACGCTGGCCACCTTGGCTGCCGTATCCGCGACTTGACTGCCGTATGAAATCTATGGGACTTTCGCCGGGTCTGCATTGTTGCTGGGGTCGCTTATGAAGCTATTTGCATTCATCACCTGTTTGGCCATACTAGATGCCCGTGTTTGGGTGGTTTGAACATTGCCTAGAATTTGAAGGCTAACTGCAGATTAGGTTGCTTTTGGCGAGTGATGCACCCAGTTTTAGGGGAACTTTTGAGCCTCCTGCAAAATTGACGTAGGCCCGCAAAGCCACCCTGTTGGAGGGATTGCTCGTTTTGGAGCTTCTCCGACCGCTTGGACTTTGCTCCATGCTTGAGCCCAGCTGCTTCGAGCTCAGCGGCAATTTACCACCCATGGCTTTTTGGAGTCTATTTTTCGCTATGCATGTTGGGCCATTCTGGAAGGTTGGGCCATTGATTGTTATTTCCTTGGCAAGCCAATTGTCTGGCCTCAGATCGCGTCTTCGGAGCAACCCTGTTTGCCGTTTGCCCAGTACAGCAACCAGGGGTTCAAAGCCACCAATCGAATCCACCAATCAATCCAAACACTTTATTTTTCTTTTTTCTTTTTTTTTCGGGGGGAGGCTGAAAAGTGCAGGCCCCCCCCGCGTGTGAGTGGGCCCTTCAGGTGAGTCTGGCTGCATTTGGTCGTGGGAGGACGCAGGCTCGGGGCCTGAGAGGGCTTGAAGGGAGGGCTTGGGCAGCCCCCCCGCAGAAATCTCAAAACAGTGCCTCCTGGTTTTGGTGCAGCAAAAGGGGACCAGAGGGCGCTTCGTTGCGAGCTCTTAGTTTCAAGAGTTGGGTGTTGTGTCGTGTGCAGAAAACGGATGTCGTGTTGAATTGGCTTGTATGGGTAAGGGGCCGGCCCCTATCAAGGGTTCAGGCCGTTTACCTTGTGGTTGTGCCACTTGAAGATGAGTTTATTCATGCTAGGGTGATGTTTGGAAGGAAATATAGGGAGCCCTGTCGGTATCAGCTTTTGGAAGCGACTCTTCCGAAGCCCAAGCCATTTGGGATGCCTTTGAGGGTGGTTGGAGGCGGGACAACTTAAATGGTGTTTGGACTCATCTGATATTGAGGTCCAAGTGTGTCTTTTTTCTTCAGGGCACTTCTTTTGTCAAACGCGGAATGTATGAACCAGTATGTGAAGCTCCGGGCCCTGGTAATTGGTAATTAAGCCCTAGTTTGTAGCATTTCTTATGGCCCAACTGGCCTTAGAAGTGACCAGAGCTCTGCCATTTTGCGCCCAGGTCAAGTCTGCTGAGGCCGGGCATCCCCAAATCGCGCGCCATTTCACCGTCCCTCAACATGCATCTCATAGATTTCTGCCCAGAATCCACTTGGCGATCAACTTGAAAGAGTTGGAACCACCTCACAGGTGGTGGACATAATTCCCATCAAGGGAAGCTAGTTGAAATACACACCCAGTTTGGGGGAAGTGTAGTGATTTAGAGCAATCATGTTCAGTAGCATTGCAGGAGAAACACGCTGACTCTGGCCTTGCAGGTGAGCGATCTGCCACCGCCTCTGTTCCAGCCCTCGGAACAGTTCGGTGCAACTGAGCCTTTGGGCTTCTTCGATCCGCTTGGGTTCACTGCGGTGGGCGACGAGAGGGGCTTCCGCAAGCTGCAAGTTTCGGAGATCAAACACGGGAGGGTAGCGATGATGGCATCCATCGGCCTGGTTGGTCAGCACTTCCTGAAGTTGCCAGGCTTTGAGCAGTCCCCTGCTGGCTTCTCCGTCATGGGCAGGGGCGAGGGCGTGCTTGGCTTCTTCGGCATCTTCCTGCTCTGCGGTCTCTTGGAGCTGGCGTGGCGAGAGGAGCCCGGCAGCGACCGCGAGCCCGGCAACTATGGGGACCCCTTCGGCGTCAACATGTACAACGATGAGATGAGGATGAAGGAGCTGAACAACGGGCGCATGGCCATGATTTCTGTGCTGGGTATCTTTGCGGCGGAGATCGCCACGGGCAAGGATGCCATGCAGCAGTTTGGTCTTCCAGCACTGGGTGGTCAGGTTGCTTCTTCTTCCTCCGCATCGCGCAGCAGCTTTGCAGGAAGGACTTCCTCTCGAGTGGCAGCCCAGCAGAGCATTCTGCGTCGAGCTGAAGCGGTGGTGGAGGATGTGCCGCCTCTGTTCCAGCCCTCGGAACAGTTCGGTGCAACTGAGCCTTTGGGCTTCTTCGATCCGCTTGGGTTCACTGCGGTGGGTGACGAGAGGGGCTTCCGCAAGCTGCAAGTTTCGGAGATCAAACACGGGAGGGTAGCGATGATGGCATCTATCGGCCTGGTAGGTCAGCACTTCCTGAAGTTGCCAGGCTTTGAGCAGTCCCCTGCTGGCTTCTCCGTCATGGGCAGGGGCGAGGGCGTGCTTGGCTTCTTCGGCATCTTCCTGCTCTGTGGTCTCTTGGAGCTGGCGTGGCGAGAGGAGCCCGGCAGCGACCGCGAGCCCGGCAACTATGGGGACCCCTTCGGTGTCAACATGTACAACGATGAGATGAGGATGAAGGAGCTGAACAACGGGCGCATGGCCATGATTTCTGTGCTGGGTATCTTTGCGGCGGAGATGGCAACGGGCAAGGATGCCATGCAGCAGTTTGGTCTTCCAGCACTGGGTGGTCAGGTTGCTTCTTCTTCCTCCGCATCGCGCAGCAGCCTTGCAGGAAGGACTTCCTCTCGAGTGGCAGCCCAGCAGAGCATTCTGCGTCGAGCTGAAGCAGTGGTGGAGGATGTGCCGCCTCTGTTCCAGCCCTCGGAACAGTTCGGTGCAACTGAGCCTTTGGGCTTCTTCGATCCGCTTGGGTTCACTGCGGTGGGTGACGAGAGGGGCTTCCGCAAGCTGCAAGTTTCGGAGATCAAACACGGGAGGGTAGCGATGATGGCATCTATCGGCCTGGTAGGTCAGCACTTTCTGAAGTTGCCAGGCTTTGAGCAGTCCCCTGCTGGCTTCTCCGTCATGGGCAGGGGCGAGGGCGTGCTTGGCTTCTTCGGCATCTTCCTGCTCTGCGGTCTCTTGGAGCTGGCGTGGCGAGAGGAGCCCGGCAGCGACCGCGAGCCCGGCAACTATGGGGACCCCTTCGGTGTCAACATGTACAACGATGAGATGAGGATGAAGGAGCTGAACAACGGGCGCATGGCCATGATTTCTGTGCTGGGTATCTTTGCGGCGGAGATCGCCACGGGCAAGGATGCCATCCAACAATTTGGCTTCTGAGTTCAAGTACATGTTATTGCTTGAATTCTATCGTTGCTCTTAGTTTTCTGTCACAGAGATGTTGTCGGTACAGTATGAGCGAACATGTTTTCTATTTTTCGGTCCATGCAAATGCAAGAGGACCATCTCAATGCTTCTCACATGGTTCATCATGTTTCATCTTCGAGCCGCATAGCAAGATTTCTCTTGCAGGCTCCCTTTCTAGCTATTGGGCAAGAGCCCATTGCATCCGACGTCGCGATTGCGGCCAACGGAAAATGACAATAGTATGAAGGTCATCACGCCCTTTCACGCACTTCTTGATCCGCCAAGGCAGGCAGGGCATCATGACTCAATGACCATGCCTCATGCAAGGAGTTTTGTCCATGTTGGCTCAAGTATTTTCGCTTTTCGCTAGCACAAACCGTCATGGCGCCCGCTTCATCTCGATTTCTCGGCACAGGTGTTGCCCTTGGCCTAGCCAGCGCCTTTGTGGCACCGGGAGCCCGACCTCAAGAGCCTCGGCAGCCGGCTCAGGCCCGCGTCGCAAGCGCCCCAGCCGTCAGCGCAACTGGGACGCTGGCCACCTTGGCTGCAGCATCTGTGACGCTGGCTGCATTCGGCAAAAAGACTCAGCTCAAATCCACGGTTGCGAAAGAAGTGGCGGATGTGCCGCCTCTGTTCCAGCCCTCGGAACAGTTCGGTGCAACTGAGCCTTTGGGCTTCTTCGATCCGCTTGGGTTCACTGCGGTGGGCGACGAGAGGGGCTTCCGCAAGCTGCAAGTTTCGGAGATCAAACACGGGAGGGTAGCGATGATGGCATCTATCGGCCTGGTTGGTCAGCACTTCCTGAAGTTGCCAGGCTTTGAGCAGTCCCCCGCTGGCTTCTCCGTCATGGGCAGGGGCGAAGGCGTGCTTGGCTTCTTCGGCATCTTCCTGCTCTGCGGTCTCTTGGAGCTGGCGTGGCGAGAGGAGCCCGGCAGCGACCGCGAGCCCGGCAACTATGGGGACCCCTTCGGTGTCAACATGTACAACGATGAGATGAGGATGAAGGAGCTGAACAACGGGCGCATGGCCATGATTTCTGTGCTGGGTATCTTTGCGGCGGAGATCGCCACGGGCAAGGATGCCATGCAGCAGTTTGGTCTCCCAGCACTGGGTGGTCAGGTTGCTTCTTCTTCCTCCGCGTCGCGCAGCAGCTTTGCAGGAAGGACTTCCTCTCGAGTGGCAGCCCAGCAGAGCATTCTGCGTCGAGCTGAAGCAGTGGTGGAGGATGTGCCGCCTCTGTTCCAGCCCTCGGAACAGTTCGGTGCAACTGAGCCTTTGGGCTTCTTCGATCCGCTTGGGTTCACTGCGGTGGGTGACGAGAGGGGCTTCCGCAAGCTGCAAGTTTCGGAGATCAAACACGGGAGGGTAGCGATGATGGCATCTATCGGCCTGGTAGGTCAGCACTTTCTGAAGTTGCCAGGCTTTGAGCAGTCCCCTGCTGGCTTCTCCGTCATGGGCAGGGGCGAGGGCGTGCTTGGCTTCTTCGGCATCTTCCTGCTCTGCGGTCTCTTGGAGCTGGCGTGGCGAGAGGAGCCCGGCAGCGACCGCGAGCCCGGCAACTATGGGGACCCCTTCGGCGTCAACATGTACAACGATGAGATGAGGATGAAGGAGCTGAACAACGGGCGCATGGCCATGATTTCTGTGCTGGGTATCTTTGCGGCGGAGATCGCCACGGGCAAGGATGCCATCCAACAATTTGGCTTCTGAGTTCAAGTACATGTTATTGCTTGAATTCTATCGTTGCTCTTAGTTTTCTGTCACAGAGATGTTGTCGGTACAGTATGAGCGAACATGTTTTCTATTTTTCGGTCCATGCAAATGCAAGAGGACCATCTCAATGCTTCTCACATGGTTCATCATGTTTCATCTTCGAGCCGCATAGCAAGATTTCTCTTGCAGGCTCCCTTTCTAGCTATTGGGCAAGAGCCCATTGCATCCGACGTCGCGATTGCGGCCAACGGAAAATGACAATAGTATGAAGGTCATCACGCCCTTTCACGCACTTCTTGATCCGCCAAGGCAGGCAGGGCATCATGACTCAATGACCATGCCTCATGCAAGGAGTTTTGTCCATGTTGGCTCAAGTATTTTCGCTTTTCGCTAGCACAAACCGTCATGGCGCCCGCTTCATCTCGATTTCTCGGCACAGGTGTTGCCCTTGGCCTAGCCAGCGCCTTTGTGGCACCGGGAGCCCGACCTCAAGAGCCTCGGCAGCCGGCTCAGGCCCGCGTCGCAAGCGCCCCAGCCGTCAGCGCAACTGGGACGCTGGCCACCTTGGCTGCAGCATCTGTGACGCTGGCTGCATTCGGCAAAAAGACTCAGCTCAAATCCACGGTTGCGAAAGAAGTGGCGGATGTGCCGCCTCTGTTCCAGCCCTCGGAACAGTTCGGTGCAACTGAGCCTTTGGGCTTCTTCGATCCGCTTGGGTTCACTGCGGTGGGCGACGAGAGGGGCTTCCGCAAGCTGCAAGTTTCGGAGATCAAACACGGGAGGGTAGCGATGATGGCATCTATCGGCCTGGTTGGTCAGCACTTCCTGAAGTTGCCAGGCTTTGAGCAGTCCCCCGCTGGCTTCTCCGTCATGGGCAGGGGCGAAGGCGTGCTTGGCTTCTTCGGCATCTTCCTGCTCTGCGGTCTCTTGGAGCTGGCGTGGCGAGAGGAGCCCGGCAGCGACCGCGAGCCCGGCAACTATGGGGACCCCTTCGGTGTCAACATGTACAACGATGAGATGAGGATGAAGGAGCTGAACAACGGGCGCATGGCCATGATTTCTGTGCTGGGTATCTTTGCGGCGGAGATCGCCACGGGCAAGGATGCCATGCAGCAGTTTGGTCTCCCAGCACTGGGTGGTCAGGTTGCTTCTTCTTCCTCCGCGTCGCGCAGCAGCTTTGCAGGAAGGACTTCCTCTCGAGTGGCAGCCCAGCAGAGCATTCTGCGTCGAGCTGAAGCAGTGGTGGAGGATGTGCCGCCTCTGTTCCAGCCCTCGGAACAGTTCGGTGCAACTGAGCCTTTGGGCTTCTTCGATCCGCTTGGGTTCACTGCGGTGGGTGACGAGAGGGGCTTCCGCAAGCTGCAAGTTTCGGAGATCAAACACGGGAGGGTAGCGATGATGGCATCTATCGGCCTGGTTGGTCAGCACTTTCTGAAGTTGCCAGGCTTTGAGCAGTCCCCTGCTGGCTTCTCCGTCATGGGCAGGGGCGAGGGCGTGCTTGGCTTCTTCGGCATCTTCCTGCTCTGCGGTCTCTTGGAGCTGGCGTGGCGAGAGGAGCCCGGCAGCGACCGCGAGCCCGGCAACTATGGGGACCCCTTCGGTGTCAACATGTACAACGATGAGATGAGGATGAAGGAGCTGAACAACGGGCGCATGGCCATGATTTCTGTGCTGGGTATCTTTGCGGCGGAGATCGCCACGGGCAAGGATGCCATGCAGCAGTTTGGTCTCCCAGCACTGGGTGGTCAGGTTGCTTCTTCTTCCTCCGCATCGCGCAGCAGCTTTGCAGGAAGGACTTCCTCTCGAGTGGCAGCCCAGCAGAGCATTCTGCGTCGAGCTGAAGCAGTGGTGGAGGATGTGCCGCCTCTGTTCCAGCCCTCGGAACAGTTCGGTGCAACTGAGCCTTTGGGCTTCTTCGATCCGCTTGGGTTCACTGCGGTGGGTGACGAGAGGGGCTTCCGCAAGCTGCAAGTTTCGGAGATCAAACACGGGAGGGTAGCGATGATGGCATCTATCGGCCTGGTTGGTCAGCACTTTCTGAAGTTGCCAGGCTTTGAGCAGTCCCCCGCTGGCTTCTCCGTCATGGGCAGGGGCGAGGGCGTGCTTGGCTTCTTCGGCATCTTCCTGCTCTGTGGTCTCTTGGAGCTGGCGTGGCGAGAGGAGCCTGGCAGCGACCGCGAGCCCGGCAACTATGGGGACCCCTTCGGTGTCAACATGTACAACGATGAGATGAGGATGAAGGAGCTGAACAACGGGCGCATGGCCATGATTTCTGTGCTGGGTATCTTTGCGGCGGAGATCGCCACGGGCAAGGATGCCATGCAGCAGTTTGGTCTCCCAGCACTGGGTGGTCAGGTTGCTTCTTCTTCCTCCGCGTCGCGCAGCAGCTTTGCAGGAAGGACTTCCTCTCGAGTGGCAGCCCAACAAAGCATTCTGCGTCGAGCTGAAGCAGTGGTGGAGGATGTGCCGCCTCTGTTCCAGCCCTCGGAGCAGTTCGGTGCAACTGAGCCTTTGGGCTTCTTCGATCCGCTTGGGTTCACTGCGGTGGGTGACGAGAGGGGCTTCCGCAAGCTGCAAGTTTCGGAGATCAAACACGGGAGGGTAGCGATGATGGCATCTATCGGCCTGGTTGGTCAGCATTTCCTGAAGTTCCCAGGCTTGAACAGTCCCCGGCTGGCTTCTCCGTGATGGGCAGGCGAGGGTGTGCTAGGCTTCTTCGGCATCTTCCTGCTCTGTGTCTCTTGGAGCCTGGCTTGGCGAGAGGCCTGGCAGCGACAGGGAGCCGGGCAACTATGGCGACCCTTTCGGGCGTGAACATGTACAACGACGAGATGAGGATGAAGGAGCTGAACAACGGGCGCATGGCCATGATTTCCGTTCTGGGTATCTTTGCGGCGGAGATGGCAACGGGCAAGGATGCCATTCAACAGTTCGGCTTCTGAGTTGGAGCTCTTTTGCCGAGGGGTTTAGTAAAGGGCTTTCTGGTAGATGTCTTTCGCAGAGACATGGTCTAGTGTGAGCGGATTTGTGATCTAGTTTTCGGTCCATGCACAATGCAAGATGACCAACTCAATCCTTTTCACATGTTCCATCATGTTTCATCTTCGAGCCCAGCAAGATTTCTCTTGCAGGCTCCCTTTCTATGGCTATTGGGCCTCAGCCCATTGCATGCGACGTCGCGATTGCGGCCGAAGGAACATGGGCACGACGCAAGAAGTTTTGACCTAGGCATGTGCTAGTTGATTGTGTTTGCAGAGGTTCGCAGGCCCTTTCGTGTGAACTTAGCCAAGAAGCGCTGGTTCCCTGTGACACGCGATGACTCGATGTCTCGACGGCCATGCCTTATGCAAGGTGCTTGTGCATTTGGGTTCGAGAGTATTTTTGGCGTTTCGCTCACATCCAGCGTCATGGCGCCTGCTTCCTCTGGAATTTCTCGGCTTACGGGTGTTGCCCTCGGCCTTGCCCCCGGTGCCTTTGTAAGGCGCCTTCGGGCTGAAGAGGCACAGTCTCGGGCGCCAGTGACCCGCACCTTCCGCCGACGCCCGACCAGGACGACCGGGACGCGCTGGCAACCTTGAAGCTGCGGCATCCGTGACCCCCAAATCCTGGCAAGGCCAGCAAATCTACGGCTGCAAGGACATCGGCGGTACCGGCTCCCTTCCAGCCTTCCAAGCAGTTCGGCGCAACTGAGCCTTTGGGCTTCTTTGATCCGCGTGGGTTCACTGCTGTGGGCGACGAGAGGGGCTTCCGCAAGTTGCGAGTCTCGGAGATCAAACATGGGAGAGTGGCGATGATGGCGTCCATTGGGCTGGTTGGTCAGCATTTCCTGAAGTTCCCAGGCTTGAACAGTCCCGGCTGGCTTCTCCGTGATGGGCAGGGCGAGGGTGTGCTAGAGCTTCTTCGTTCTGCTCTGTGCTCTCTTGGAGCTGGCTTGGCGAGAGGAGCCTGGCAGGCTGGGAGGCCGGGCAACTTCCGCAGCGACCCTTTGGTGTGAACATGTACAACGACGAGATGAGGATGAAGGAGCTGAACAACGGGCGCATGGCCATGATTTCCGTTCTGGGTATCTTTGCGGCGGAGATGGCAACGGGCAAGGATGCCATGCAGCAGTTCGGTCTTCCTGCACTGGGTGCGGGGCTTGCCTCGTCAGCCTCAGCATCCCGAAGCAGCTTTGCAGGAAGCAGCTCTTCGCGAGTGGCAGCTCAGCAGAACATCCTGCGCCGAGCGGAAGCCGTGGTGGAGGACGTACTGCCTCCTTTCCAGCCCTCCAAGCAGTTCGGCGCAACTGAGCCTTTGGGCTTCTTTGATCCGCTTGGGTTCACTGCGGTGGGTGACGAGAGGGGCTTCCGCAAGTTGCGAGTCTCGGAGATCAAACATGGGAGAGTGGCGATGATGGCGTCTATCGGGCTGGTTGGTCAGCATTTCCTGAAGTTCCCAGGCTTCGAACAGTCCCCGGCTGGCTTCTCCGTGATGGGCAGGGGCGAGGGTGTGCTAGGCTTCTTCGGCATCTTCCTGCTCTGTGCTCTCTTGGAGCTGGCTTGGCGAGAGGAGCCTGGCAGCGACAGGGAGCCGGGCAACTATGGCGACCCTTTCGGCGTGAACATGTACAACGACGAGATGAGGATGAAGGAGCTGAACAACGGGCGCATGGCCATGATTTCCGTTCTGGGTATCTTTGCGGCGGAGATGGCAACGGGCAAGGATGCCATTCAACAGTTCGGCTTCTGAGTTGGAGCACAATTGCCGAGGGGTTTAGTAAAGGGCTTTCTGGTAGATGTCTTTCGCAGAGACATGGTCCAGTGTGAGCGGATTTGTGATCTAGTTTTCGGTCCATGCACAATGCAAGATGACCAACTCAATCCTTTTCACATGTTCCATCATGTTTCATCTTCGAGCCCAGCAAGATTCTCTTGCAGGCTCCCTTCCTATGGCTATTGGGCCTCAGCCCATTGCATGCGACGTCGCGATTGCGGCCGAAGGAACATGGGCACGACGCAAGAAGTTTTGACCTAGGCATGTGCTAGTTGATTGTGTTTGCAGAGGTTCGCAGGCCTTTCGTGTGAACTTAGCCAAGAAGCGCTGGTTCCCTGTGACACGCGATGACTCGATGTCTCGACGGCCATGCCTTATGCAAGGAGTCTTGTGCATTTGGGTTCGAGTATTTTTCGCGTTTCGCTCACATCCAGCGTCATGGCGCCTGCTTCCTCTCGATTTCTCGGCACGGGTGTTGCCCTCGGCCTTGCCGGTGCCTTTGTGGCGCCTTCTCGACCGCAAGCGGAGCCCCAGTCTCGGGCGCCCGTGACCCGCACCCCTTCCGCCGCGCCGACCGGGACGACCGGGACGCTGGCAACCTTGGCTGCGGCATCCGTGACCTTGGCGGCCTTTGGCAAGACCCAACTCAAATCTACGGCTGCAAAGGACATCGACGTACCGGCTCCCTTCCAGCCTTCCAAGCAGTTCGGCGCAACTGAGCCTTTGGGCTTCTTTGATCCGCTTGGGTTCACTGCGGTGGGCGACGAGAGGGGCTTCCGCAAGTTGCGAGTCTCGGAGATCAAACATGGGAGAGTGGCGATGATGGCGTCTATCGGGCTGGTTGGTCAGCATTTCCTGAAGTTCCCGGCTTCGAACAGTCCCCGGCTGGCTTCTCCGTGATGGGCAGGGGCGAGGGTGTGCTAGGCTTCTTCGGCATCTTCCTGCTCTGTGCTCTCTTGGAGCTGGCTTGGCGAGAGGAGCCTGGCAGCGACAGGGAGCCGGGCAACTATGGCGACCCTTTCGGCGTGTTTCATGCAACGACCCCGAGATGAGGATGAAGGAGCTGAACAACGGCGCATGGCCATGATTTCCGTTCTGGAGTATGTTTTGCGGCGGAGATGCAGGCAGGCAGGATGCCATGCAGCAATTCGGTCTTCCTGCACTGGGTGCGGGGCTGCCTCGTCAGCCTCAGCATCGAAGCACGCTTTGCAGGAAGCAGCTCTTCGCGAGTGGCAGCTCAGCAGAACATCCTGCGCCGAGCGAAAGCCGGTGGTGGAGGACGATACCGGCTCAGCAGCCCTCAATCAGTTCGGCGCAACCGAGCCTTTGGGCTTCTTTGATCCGCTTGGGTTCACTGCTGTGGGCGACGAGAGGGGCCTTCCCGCAGGTGCGAGTCTCGAGGAGATCCAAACATGGGAGAGTGGCGATGATGGCGTCTATCGGGCTGGTTGGTCAGCATTTCCTGAAGTTCCCAGGCTTGAACAGTCCCGGCCTGGCTTCTCCGTGATGGAAGGGCGAGGGTGTGCTAGGCTTCTTCGGCATCTTCCTGCTCTGTGCTCTCTTGGAGCTGGCAGCGGGGAGGAGCCTGGCAGCGACGAGGAGCCGGGCAACTATGGCGACCCTTTCGGCGTGAAGACATGTACAACGACGAGATGAGGATGACGGAGCTGAACAACGGGAGGCTGGTGGCCATGATTTCCGTTCTGGGTATCTTTGCGGCGGAGATGATGGCAACGGGCAAGGATGCCATGCAGCAGTTCGGTCTTCCTGCACTGGGTGCGGGGCTTGCCTCGTCAGCCTCAGCATCCCGAAGCAGCTTTGCAGGAAGCAGCTCTTCGCGAGTGGCAGCTCAGCAGAACATCCTGCGCCGAGCGGAAGCCGTGGTGGAGGACGTACCGGCTCCCTTCCAGCCCTCCAAGCAGTTCGGCGCAACTGAGCCTTTGGGCTTCTTTGATCCGCTTGGGTTCACAGCGGTGGGCGACGAGAGGGGCTTCCGCAAGTTGCGAGTCTCGGAGATCAAACATGGGAGAGTGGCGATGATGGCGTCCATCGGGCTGGTTGGTCAGCATTTCCTGAAGTTCCCAGGCTTCGAACAGTCCCCGGCTGGCTTCTCCGTGATGAGCAGGGGCGAGGGTGTGCTAGGCTTCTTCGGCATCTTCCTGCTCTGTGCTCTCTTGGAGCTGGCTTGGCGAGAGGAGCCTGGCAGCGACAGGGAGCCGGGCAACTATGGCGACCCTTTCGGCGTCAACATGTACAACGACGAGATGAGGATGAAGGAGCTGAACAACGGGCGCATGGCCATGATTTCCGTTCTGGGTATCTTTGCGGCGGAGATGGCAACGGGCAAGGATGCCATGCAGCAGTTCGGTCTTCCTGCACTGGGTGCGGGGCTTGCCTCGTCAGCCTCAGCATCCCGAAGCAGCTTTGCAGGAAGCAGCTCTTCGCGAGTGGCAGCTCAGCAGAACATCCTGCGCCGAGCGGAAGCCGTGGTGGAGGACGTACCGGCTCCCTTCCAGCCCTCCAAGCAGTTCGGCGCAACTGAGCCTTTGGGCTTCTTTGATCCGCTTGGGTTCACTGCTGTGGGCGACGAGAGGGGCTTCCGCAAGTTGCGAGTCTCGGAGATCAAACATGGGAGAGTGGCGATGATGGCGTCTATCGGGCTGGTTGGTCAGCATTTCCTGAAGTTCCCAGGCTTCGAACAGTCCCCGGCTGGCTTCTCCGTGATGGGCAGGGGCGAGGGTGTGCTAGGCATCTTCGGCATCTTCCTGCTCTGTGCTCTCTTGGAGCTGGCTTGGCGAGAGGAGCCTGGCAGCGACAGGGAGCCGGGCAACTATGGCGACCCTTTCGGCGTGAACATGTACAACGACGAGATGAGGATGAAGGAGCTGAACAACGGGCGCATGGCCATGATTTCCGTTCTGGGTATCTTTGCGGCGGAGATGGCAACGGGCAAGGATGCCATTCAACAGTTCGGCTTCTGAGTTGGAGCTCTTTTGCCGAGGGGTTTAGTAAAGGGCTTTCTGGTAGATGTCTTTCGCGGAGACATGGTCTAGTGTGAGCGGATTTGTGATCTAGTTTTCGGTCCATGCACAATGCAAGATGACCAACTCAATCCTTTTCACATGTTCCATCATGTTTCATCTTCGAGCCCAGCAAGATTTCTCTTGCAGGCTCCCTTTCTATGGCTATTGGGCCTCAGCCCATTGCATGCGACGTCGCGATTGCGGCCGAAGGAACATGGGCACGACGCAAGAAGTTTTGACCTAGGCATGTGCTAGTTGATTGTGTTTGCAGAGGTTGCTGTTCCCTTTCGTGTGAACTTAGCCAAGAAGCGCTGGTTCCCTGTGACACGCGATGACTCGATGTCTCGACGGCCATGCCTTATGCAAGGAGTCTTGTGCATTTGGGTTCGAGTATTGTTCGCGTTTCGCTCACATCCAGCGTCATGGCGCCTGCTTCCTCTCGATTTCTCGGCACGGGTGTTGCCCTCGGCCTTGCCGGTGCCTTTGTGGCGCCTTCTCGACCGCAAGCGGAGCCCCAGTCTCGGGCGCCCGTGACCCGCACCCCTTCCGCCGCGCCGACCGGGACGACCGGGACGCTGGCAACCTTGGCTGCGGCATCCGTGACCTTGGCGGCCTTTGGCAAGACCCAACTCAAATCTACGGCTGCAAAGGACATCGACGTACCGGCTCCCTTCCAGCCTTCCAAGCAGTTCGGCGCAACCGAGCCTTTGGGCTTCTTTGATCCGCTTGGGTTCACTGCTGTGGGCGACGAGAGGGGCTTCCGCAAGTTGCGAGTCTCGGAGATCAAACATGGGAGAGTGGCGATGATGGCGTCTATCGGGTTGGTTGGTCAGCATTTCCTGAAGTTCCCAGGCTTCGAACAGTCCCCGGCTGGCTTCTCCGTGATGGGCAGGGGCGAGGGTGTGCTAGGCTTCTTCGGCATCTTCCTGCTCTGTGCTCTCTTGGAGCTGGCTTGGCGAGAGGAGCCTGGCAGCGACAGGGAGCCGGGCAACTATGGCGACCCTTTCGGCGTGAACATGTACAACGACGAGATGAGGATGAAGGAGCTGAACAACGGGCGCATGGCCATGATTTCCGTTCTGGGTATCTTTGCGGCGGAGATGGCAACGGGCAAGGATGCCATGCAGCAGTTTGGTCTTCCTGCACTGGGTGCAGGTTGCTTCTTCAGCCTCAGCATCCCGAAGCAGCTTTGCAGGAAGCAGCTCTTCGCGAGTGGCAGCTCAGCAGAACATCCTGCGCCGAGCGAAGCCGTGGTGGAGGACGTACCGCCTCCCTTCCAGCCCTCCAATCAGTTCGGCGCAACTGAGCCTTTGGGCTTCTTTGATCCGCTTGGGTTCACTGCTGTGGGCGACGAGAGGGGCTTCCGCAAGTTGCGAGTCTCGGAGATCAAACATGGGAGAGTGGCGATGATGGCGTCTATCGGGCTGGTTGGTCAGCATTTCCTGAAGTTCCCAGGCTTCGAACAGTCCCCGGCTGGCTTCTCCGTGATGGGCAGGGGCGAGGGTGTGCTAGGCTTCTTCGGCATCTTCCTGCTCTGTGCTCTCTTGGAGCTGGCTTGGCGAGAGGAGCCTGGCAGCGACAGGGAGCCGGGCAACTATGGCGACCCTTTCGGCGTGAACATGTACAACGACGAGATGAGGATGAAGGAGCTGAACAACGGGCGCATGGCCATGATTTCCGTTCTGGGTATCTTTGCGGCGGAGATGGCAACGGGCAAGGATGCCATGCAGCAGTTCGGTCTTCCTGCACTGGGTGCGGGGCTTGCCTCGTCAGCCTCAGCATCCCGAAGCAGCTTTGCAGGAAGCAGCTCTTCGCGAGTGGCAGCTCAGCAGAACATCCTGCGCCGAGCGGAAGCCGTGGTGGAGGACGTACCGCTCCCTTCCAGCCCTCCAATCAGTTCGGCGCAACCGAGCCTTTGGGCTTCTTTGATCCGCTTGGGTTCACTGCTGTGGGCGACGAGAGGGGCTTCCGCAAGTTGCGAGTCTCGGAGATCAAACATGGGAGAGTGGCGATGATGGCGTCTATCGGGCTGGTTGGTCAGCATTTCCTGAAGTTCCCAGGCTTCGAACAGTCCCCGGCTGGCTTCTCCGTGATGGGCAGGGGCGAGGGTGTGCTAGGCTTCTTCGGCATCTTCCTGCTCTGTGCTCTCTTGGAGCTGGCTTGGCGAGAGGAGCCTGGCAGCGACAGGGAGCCGGGCAACTATGGCGACCCTTTCGGCGTGAACATGTACAACGACGAGATGAGGATGAAGGAGCTGAACAACGGGCGCATGGCCATGATTTCCGTTCTGGGTATCTTTGCGGCGGAGATGGCAACGGGCAAGGATGCCATTCAACAGTTCGGCTTCTGAGTTGGAGCTCTTTTGCCGAGGGGTTTAGTAAAGGGCTTTCTGGTAGATGTCTTTCGCAGAGACATGGTCTAGTGTGAGCGGATTTGTGATCTAGTTTTCGGTCCATGCACAATGCAAGATGACCAACTCAATCCTTTTCACATGTTCCATCATGTTTCATCTTCGAGCCCAGCAAGATTTCTCTTGCAGGCTCCCTTTCTATGGCTATTGGGCCTCAGCCCATTGCATGCGACGTCGCGATTGCGGCCGAAGGAACATGGGCACGACGCAAGAAGTTTTGACCTAGGCATGTGCTAGTTGATTGTGTTTGCAGAGGTTCGCAGGCCCTTTCGTGTGAACTTAGCCAAGAAGCGCTGGTTCCCTGTGACACGCGATGACTCGATGTCTCGACGGCCATGCCTTATGCAAGCAGTCTTGTGCATTTGGGTTCGAGTATTTTTCGCGTTTCGCTCACATCCAGCGTCATGGCGCCTGCTTCCTCTCGATTTCTCGGCACGGGTGTTGCCCTCGGCCTTGCCGGTGCCTTTGTGGCGCCTTCTCGACCGCAAGCGGAGCCCCAGTCTCGGGCGCCCGTGACCCGCACCCCTTCCGCCGCGCCGACCGGGACGACCGGGACGCTGGCAACCTTGGCTGCGGCATCCGTGACCTTGGCGGCCTTTGGCAAGACCCAACTCAATCTACGGCTGCAAAGGACATCGCCGTACCGGCTCCCTTCCAGCCTTCCAAGCAGTTCGGCGCAACTGAGCCTTTGGGCTTCTTTGATCCGCTTGGGTTCACTGCGGTGGGCGACGAGAGGGGCTTCCGCAAGTTGCGAGTCTCGGAGATCAAACATGGGAGAGTGGCGATGATGGCGTCTATCGGGCTGGTTGGTCAGCATTTCCTGAAGTTCCCAGGCTTCGAGCAGTCCCCGGCTGGCTTCTCCGTGATGGGCAGGGGCGAGGGTGTGCTGGGCTTCTTCGGCATCTTCCTGCTCTGTGCTCTCTTGGAGCTGGCTTGGCGAGAGGAGCCTGGCAGCGACAGGGAGCCGGGCAACTATGGCGACCCTTTCGGCGTGAACATGTACAACGACGAGATGAGGATGAAGGAGCTGAACAACGGGCGCATGGCCATGATTTCCGTTCTGGGTATCTTTGCGGCGGAGATGGCAACGGGCAAGGATGCCATGCAGCAGTTCGGTCTTCCTGCACTGGGTGCGGGGCTTGCCTCGTCAGCCTCAGCATCCCGAAGCAGCTTTGCAGGAAGCAGCTCTTCGCGAGTGGCAGCTCAGCAGAACATCCTGCGCCGAGCGGAAGCCGTGGTGGAGGACGTACTGCCTCCCTTCCAGCCCTCCAAGCAGTTCGGCGCAACTGAGCCTTTGGGCTTCTTTGATCCGCTTGGGTTCACAGCGGTGGGCGACGAGAGGGGCTTCCGCAAGTTGCGCGTCTCGGCGCAGTTTGAATCGCCAGGCCTGAAGACGGGCATCTCGATTCTCCTGCACACTTTGCGTGATTTGTTCCTGTAATTTTTGGGTCACAAGTTGCGTGTCGCAGGCATGCCAGGTGGCTCCAGCATCCAAGCCATATTTTTGGGCTACTGTCTGAATTTTTTCGTGGAGCACGATACTTTCTTTTTGGTCGCATGGCACTGGGCGCTCCCTTGTGCGCCGCAATTGCTTATGCTTTAACTCAGAAAGTTGACGCAAAGTTTTTGACAACAGCGCGAGCTTGCGACAGTGGGGGTCCCCAGCATTCTTTCTGGACACAGCACTTGCAGCGAGATGCTGACTGTAGACCCGCGGCCTGCCATGTCGGCCCCCCTGCATCTTGTGCCTGCTGGTGCACCTGGAGCGGAGAAACTTTTCACCAGCTCGTGCTATGAGAAGCCACGCGGCATTAGTATCTTGTCTGTCGATGGCTGCCTGAAACTGGCAGGAAAGACTCCGGAAGCAGTCCTGGAAGTCAGCTTCCGCTTTGTCATCAGTGATGTCCTTGAAGTCACGCACAGGGAAGGGTGTCGGTGGGACGTACACCCGTTGCACTTGCATGCAAGCCTCACGGCGGATTTTAACCTGAAGCCCGAGATGGCCTTTGATTGGCAGGTCCCGCCGGATGGTGAATTCTTCACAGAGTACTAACGCAGCCGCGTTGGCTAAGATGAGATCTGGTCTCGTGGCGCCTGTCACGTTATCATATTTATTCCAAGTTTTACTGGCACAGAACGTTTTTTCTGGCTTGCCACCGGAGAAATGATCTGCTAGATCAGTTAGATTCATGACAGAAAGGGCACGTTGTAGAACCGGGGATCTTTCACGCTCAGTGTTGACATCAGCACAGATACACAGATAAGCACTGGTTGTGAGCCAAGAGTTGAAACGTAGTCAAGAAGTTTTTCCAGCAAACGCTCACACTGAGTGAATTTGGCACCGTTCCCCCGGTTAGATATCCCATAGAAGGTGACCAGGTGAAGAAACCTTCTGCTGAGTGCCCCGCAAGGCCCCAAGGGCACCACGGCCGTGCACCACCTGGTTGACTCATGCAGTGCGCTGGCTGCGAAGGAATTAAGACCAGTGGCGATCAAAGGTGTGGTGGTCTTGGCGCAGATACCGACCCCCCCATGCGCACACTTGCCAGAGGCTCGGTGCGAGAACCTGTGCGTTTTCACCTTGATTGCGCCAGGAGGTTTGCCCCAGAGGCTATCCCATGCTCTGCTGGCAAGCAATTTTTGCTGAGAAGCTATGCCGCTGGCAGATAAACGAGTTTCTTGGAGAAGTAGTATGTCGGCCCCAGCTTCTAGCAGCTGGTCCGCGTGCGGTGTCCAGGATGTCACATTGGCACTGAGGATTGTGATGCACTCGGCGGCAGCACCACTTTGCTCCGAAGACTGCGCATCAAGCGCACGCGTGTCCTGGGCAGGGCACTGCTGATTCTGGCCACGGGAATTAAAAGATACATAAGACTGGGTGTTACGACGGAGAACAACGTCATAATGGTCGATCCCGTTGTATGCAAGTCGCACTGTGCGCCACTCAGGTGTACTTTCAAGCATGAAGGTTTGGGTGCCGTACTGCGGGGTGTACACTAAGATCCGTACATTGAGTTCACGCGTGAGCGCACGCAGACAGAGTTCATCCCCATAGATGGCATCCTGTTTCATGCGTGACAGGTACGCATCTCTTTCATCGATAGTGTCGAATCTAACGAAGAGTTCCGGGTCTGTTGCGATACGTGCCACACACTTTTGGCGCAGTTGAGCATGGTCTAGGAGTTCCCCAGTCACGTCGTGATAACTGCGAGAGAGAGCCCTGAAGAGGCAGTTGCCATCTCCTAACACGCCTTGCAAGTGTAAATCAGCATTGAGCTGCTGCCTGATCAGTGAAGCTGCGACTTGACGGGACATCTGTTTATCTTTGGCCTCTGCGGCCGAGCGTTTCAAGACTGCGTCAAGTTCGGCGGCATTGCTGGCAGCGCCGCCCACGAGTGCGAAGGGCGCGTCTCTGTGTAGTTTACAAGAGTTAGTATTACCATTTTTTCGCGTACTTCAAAGCTTTGATGTGAGCAAAAATGGGGATGCCGCCTTTGCATGGTTGCGATCTAAACCTAGCAGACCTATCACAGCCATAACTAATGCAGACGGTGACGTCGTAACATCCCCAGCGGAAGTAACACAGGCTGTTCAGTGCGCTTGGCAAAAACTGTTTAATAAGCCGCAGCTGGTCTCAGCGCAAAGCTTCTTGCAAGAAGCGCAGCCCTGCATTAATGAACACCCTTGCGAATTGCCTGACATCAATGGTAAAACGTTACGACACAAAATCAGAGATGCCAAGAACACAAGGGCCGTCGCTTTAGACGGCTGGCGGATCCCAGAGCTCCAGGCTCTGCCACAGGGTTTTTTCGACCATATAGCCACTGTTATAAGAACAGTTGAGGCAGGAGCCCCCTGGCCCGATGCATGTGCCGCTGGAGTCGTTTCAACCATACCTAAGGAAGCCACCACGGGCCCAGACACATGTGACCCCGGCCAGCCCGTGGTTGGCGACGGGTTGAGCACGAGACCCATCACCAATTTGTCCCCTCTGTACTGTGCATATACTAGTGTGCGGTATGACGACATGTCTGAATGGCGTGAAAAATGGCTCACGCCTTGCACCCACGGTGCAAGGAAGAAGCACGAAACTTTCGACAACTCATGGGGACTCAGTTTAGCTCTTGAACACTGTGCATCGCGGGATCTGTTCTGTGGTGGTATTTGCCTGGACCGAAGAAAGTTTTTCGATCTCTTGGAATACGACGTGGGACACACTGTCCTGCAGCGGCTCGGTGCCCCGGAGGGGGTCCTCAATGCTGGCCGCAGCATGTATAGCCAGCTAAATTGTCGCTACAAGGTCAATAAATCTCTTTCAGAGCCATGTGCACGAACCAATGGGTTTGCCCAAGGTGACTCACTCAGTTTGCAGGTTGCGCTGGCCATGATTTCTATTTGGACTCGTTTTGTGCAGCAACAAACTTCGCCTGAGGCCGATTTTCACACTGGCAGTTTTGTCGACGACTGCCATTTTTACTCCACAGGCACCATAAGGGACACTGTAGCCAGCACAATTGCGCAGGCCTGGCAAGCTTCACGCAGGTATGACCGCATAGCAGGTCTGGAAACCAATGTGAGCAAAACATTTGCCTTTTCAAATAATTCCCAACTAGATGTTCAACTTGACAAGCGTTTGAAGGAGTTCGACCCTGAGTGCGATCTCTCCAACATTTCATCTTTCAAGCTTGTTGGTTCTGTCATCACCGCTAAGGGTAAGCCTTCCACGGATGATAGGGCCAATCGTGTAGACCGAACCATTCAAAAGCTTCGAAAGATTCGCACAGCCCCCGTGCGGTTTGCAAACAGAGCCCAGATGGCTGAAGCAGTGTTCACAGGGGCATTGTTCGGAACAGAGCTGCAAGACTTAAGTGTGACGCAACAGGATTCTCTAAAAAGTGCAGTAACTGCACTGCTGTGGAAGGGCAAAACCTGGTATCGGTCCCCAGCCATCACCTACACGCATCTTGTGAAGCCCCACAGGCTGCTTGCAAAGCCGGCTGCCATCTATCACTGCTTGACCCTTGCACGGCGGCTTCTTTTAAAGCGCGCAGACCTCCGGCGCCTCTTTCAGGAAACTTGGCAAGGGTTTGTTCAGCAGAATGGACCTCTCAGTAGAATCCACAAAGCTGTGCACGATTTGCAGGCCACCTGGAGTGCTCCCTTCTTGATTCACACACATGAGGGGCTTGAGCTCCATTTGCTCGCCCCGCTCGCAGCCAAGTTCCAACACGATCTCAGGACCGCATTGCGAAACATGGTGCTGCGTAATGAGCGAAGTTTGCACACTAGAAAGGATATGGTAGGGGGACCCGTGTTCTTATATGAGGCAAACGTTAAACTGTTACGGGGTGCCCGGGGCGCCGCAGCCTGCACAAACATTCCACAGCTTTCACTACGCGAGCAAGCCACGCTGCGGAACATTCTCTCAGGCGTGGTTCGCACCCAGGACCGAATGCACAGGTCGGGATTGGTTGATGAACGCGCTTGCCCCTGGTGCAAGAAAGATGCTGTGGAAGACCTCGAGCACCTTTACTGGAATTGTTCTGCTTGGTACGAACACAGACAAGACTTCGTTTCCCGCTGGGAGCAAGTAATCCGCTCGCTACCGGAGTGTGCACGACACTGTGGGCTTCTACCAGCCAACGTCTTGCAAAACGGATTGTTTGCCTCACTGCAAGAGGCAACGCTTTTTGCAATTGCCTTGCAGCAGACCATGATTCGCATTGTGCAGGCGCGTGACATAGTGAGCCTTAGCGCGCGAGCCATTGGCGGTGCAGCTGTTGACAGTGATGTCGAATCCCTGTCACGAAGTGAACACTCCTGCGAGTCTAGCCACGCTGTGCCAGCACAAGAACCGGCTAGCTCTTTTACACGGCAGCATCTTTTTCCCACTTACCCTTGGCACCACGAGAATGCATTTGAGGGTGACGGGTTCTTTGCACCCAGCATACCGGCCAACTGGCGGCGATACAGCGCAGGTGGGGAGTGGACCTTTGGCCTCACGTGTTTCGTGCCCTTGCATACGTACTGGACCAGGCTGAAGTGGCCAGGGGCAAATGACACAGGTGACACAATCACTTGGCTTGAGCTTGCGCTGGACTATCACGCCAGCACTCATTGCCCGTTGGCCCCTCCAGACAGGAGTGATGCCTCGTTGACAGCAGCCAGCATGGCCCAATTCTTTGAGAGAGCCAGCAAAAGAATGGCTGTGATCTGTGGAGCCAGCTTGTGTCCTGGCAATTTCTTGACTCACGCTACGAGCTTAACTGCCTTGGGCTTCAATAGAGCAGCGGGCATCTCCCTGCGCCCTAAGTTGCTGCAGCCAGAGTATGTGCATCGCATCTTGTTCGACATTGCGGCCGGTAGCCGGCACGCAGACATCAAACTACGGAAGCAAAAAATTATCCTGCCGCAAGCGCCGCCGTTGTTGCTACATCAGCTTGTCCGAAAGAGGCTTATCGGAAAACAGCCGGCGCCAGATGCCTACCAGCCACAGAAACCGAGGCGCCAGGTTAAGTCGCACAAAGCAGCTAGTGCCCATGTCCAATGGACAGACCAAGAAAGTGACATTCTCCTAGCTGCAAAAAACTGGAGAGACAAATACAGGTTGGAAAAAGTCCTTTTTCACAACCGCGATGCACAAGAGCGTAGCAGACATTTCCTCGAGATTACTGCTCAGGGCGACAAGTTCGTTTGCGCACTATGTAAAAGATCAAACCCCAATCTAGGTAAATTTCTTGTAGATTCATGTGGCGGCGAGCTCGACCAAGGCGCGCCGCTCCCAGGGGCGCGAAAGGCCAGCGTGCAACTTGCCAAACGGGCGCAGATTGCGCATCAACACAACAACGCTCGGACCCACCAGCACGAACTTGCAATCCCTACCTCCCTTGAGCAACTTCCAACGTGTGTTCTGTGCAACGAGCAACAGCAGCAGGAGGGTTGGAGACGTGTAAGCCACTTTTTGCGTCGTACGTGCAGTGCTGCGCCATAGGAATTAAGTAGGCTCCACCCCCTAATGTTCCCTGCTTTAGCCGCACTTTTCGATGTACACTGAATAACCTTGACCGCATACGACGCCACCAGTTGTACAACTGGACAGCCCTGAGCCAGTCCAGCTGCGCTGGTGAATAAGATGTAGGAATCAATTCTAGAAGATCACCGGCTTGCCACAAGCCACGTGGTGCCTTTGCATGTGGATTGCCTTGTGCACCTCCTGTTTTCCCATTTGGTTTGTAAGCATGTCTCAGTTGCTGGCATTGATTTGGTTTGTGAAAGGGGCGGGCAAGACTTTCCAGCCTTTGACTCGCACGCACGAATCATGAATGTCCATCCAACACGACTACTTCAGCCCCTGACTTTTGCATGTCCTGAAGTTCACTGCATGTACGGAGCAAGTGCGAATCCCTGTTTTTGCCTTTGTTCCATGTGTACACGAAGCGGCTTCACATGCCCATACCGCATGTACTCATAAACATGAGTTGCAACGTGGTGTGGCCAGTTCGTTTTAGCAAAGATTCATATGGCTGCCGCTCAGGCAGAAATTTTCTTGCAGCTCCCAACATGGAAGCAGCTTCACGTGTGCCCGGGCTTGGCTGCGCGTATCTTCATGGGCTGTACTAGCAGCCATTGTGTGTGCGGCCAACCTGGCCACCTATGCCCTTCGGGGCCAACCTGTGAATGTGTCGCATGCTCCTGTGTTCGGGTGTGAGACGCTCCTTAGGGAGAAGAAAACAACAATAAACACGGAAGAGTGGGGATGATGGCGTCCATCGGGCTGGTTGGTCAGCATTTCCTGAAGTTCCCAGGCTTCGAACAGTCCCCGGCTGGCTTCTCCGTGATGGGCAGGGGCGAGGGTGTGCTAGGCTTCTTCGGCATCTTCCTGCTCTGTGCTCTCTTGGAGCTGGCATGGCGAGAGGAGCCTGGCAGCGACAGGGAGCCGGGCAACTATGGGGACCCTTTCGGCGTGAACATGTACAACGACGAGATGAGGATGAAGGAGCTGAACAACGGGCGCATGGCCATGATTTCCGTTCTGGGTATCTTTGCGGCGGAGATGGCAACGGGCAAGGATGCCATTCAACAGTTCGGCTTCTGAGTTGGAGCACATTTGCCGAGGGGTTTGGTAAAGGGCTTTCTGGTAGATGTCTTTCGCAGAGACATGGTCCAGTGTGAGCGGATTTGTGATCTAGTTTTCGGTCCATGCACAATGCAAGATGATCAATTCATTCCTTTTCACATGTTCCATCATGTTTCATCTTCGAGCCCAGCAAGATTTCTCTTGCAGGCTCCCTTTCTATGGCTATTGGGCCTCAGCCCATTGCATGCGACGTCGCGATTGCGGCCGAAGGAACACGACCCAAATGCGCTTTTTCGCTGGCGCACTTCGGGCGCGTGTTGAGGTCCTTGCGAAGGCTTGCGAAGGCTTCATCGTTCGAGTCAGGCGGAAGACATGGACGCGCGGAGGGCTTGGTTTGCTCGGTTCTTCTCGTCCGTGTGCTTGCTTTCTGCTGGGTGTGGGTCAAAAAAGGTACCCAAAATGGAACCCTGGTAAATGGAACCAAGGACTAAGCTGCTAGCAGGCATGGTTTGTGAATGTGCAGAGTCATGTGAGCATGCCGGCTGGACAACGGTCAAGACACACTGAAAGTCATGGTCCAAATGCATTGAAACCAACTGCAGTTGGGAAGCTGGGAGATGGGTGTGGAGTGCAGCATTGGCTAAGGTGGTCAGCATACCAATCTGGAGGATTGGTGAATTCGGTGAAGCCAATTGTGACTAAGGAGTGCCCATGCATCATAGGGGACGCAATTGTGATTGTGATTCGTATGTCTGGTGGAGAAAGTCTGGCCTTTGAAAGCGGCAGGTACCAGTCGTTCGAGCAGAGCTTGAGCTTGACTCCCAACCCTCAGATGATGGACCAGGAGGCCCCGCGGTCAGCTTGCAGTCGGGTGTGTGTTTAAGCATGGCAACCCAAAGATGGTGGCTAGTCTTTTGGCTTGCCTGGTGTTGCAAGAGGGTATCAACAAAAAGCACACCCATACTCAACACGGCCAACAAACATCAAATCGGTTGATGGCAGTGCGCCTGCACCAGATGCATATCGCAGACGCTTGATCGAAGCGGAGCGGAACGGGTCCGTCTGAGGCATGGCATGACGGAGCAGGATGTTGGGCGTCGTCCTCAGACACTCTTAGAATGCTGACACACCTTCATTGTGCTTGATGTACCAAAAGCACCTTTGGCATTGGATATCTGGTTTGGCAGTCCGGTTTTTCCGAGTGAAGACCCTAGGTACAGCTTGCCCTGGCCGCAGCTTTGCGCTTCAGAGAAGCCAAAGGCAGCGGCTCAAAAGGGCTTGAGAGTGAGAGTATCAAGCGGGCCTGTTGGCAAGATCACCTGCCTCAAACCAAACTTTGCTTTGTCATAGACGGGAGGACTCGACGGATTCTGATGTCAGAATTATCATCATGAATCATGACTTGGATGCGTGTTTCTTGAGCCCCCCCCCCCCAAAAAAAGTAAAAAATAAAAATCGTGGTTGTCCTTTTGGTTTCAAAGGGGCATCCTAAAGAAAAGGACAGAGCCATGAATCATGAATTTGCGACTTGGGGCATCCGGATAGGCCGTTTCCCCGGCCTCCTGGATGAGAGCGACGCGCAAGAGATCGCCAGGGGCGGAGGGAGGTGTGCATGCCTTCGCTAGGCCCAAGGCTTCAAGTGGCCACAGGTAACCCTTGGTTATGTGTACCCCTCAGTTTTACATGATGGCTTTCCGTGGTAATTCAACTGGAAGCACTGGGTGTCGAATGAGTAAACTGGTCTTGTAGAACACGCCTCAGCCCAGTCGCACGCGATTTCCAATTGCTTTACTGAGGCTGACCTTGCCAAAGCTCTCAGCGAAGAGCAAAAGGCGAAGGAGACGGGGAGGGATGTCGTGCTTCTCAGTTCGAGAGAATGCACACAAGCGTTTGAACATGAGCAAAGAGCATGGCATTAGTTACACTCACCAAAGCACGAAGCATGTCATTGATGTGGCTTACTTACCTTTCACCATATCGCTTGCAGGCAATTGAATATTGATCCTAGCTCGCATGACTGCCCAAAGCGATTGCGGAATACGCCGAAGAGACGCAAATGCAAACAAGCTGCAGCTTGCAAGCTGACATGAAGGGGTGTTGGCTCTGCCGCTCGAATTCGTGATCATCAGCTTACACGTGGAACCAACTCCTCAGCTGTCAAGGGGGCACCAGTTGTTCCGATCGCTTGCAGCACAAACCAACGCCGACCCCTTGTAGCTCTTGTTTCAGGAGGGTGCTTGCTGGCTCCAGAAGGCCGCATCCTTAAGGTGGCTGTTACCGGTGAATGAGAGTGAACGTGCAGGCAATACGGACAGTTGTGTTGCTTTTCTCTGGGAACCTCTTTTTGCTTCCTTCTAAAGGAAAATCAAAGAAGAAACCCGCCATTCTCGGGGACCACAGTTTTCGGATGGCCTTGGATCGAACCGACCAGCCTGGCCGATCCATAGGTCGAGTTTGGCTTCCCCAGTGGTGAGCCTGTGGAGGACATGCCGGCTTTCGAGGCCATCCGATGCACGAGACCAATAAATTTGGAACCTGACGGTCGGGAAATGGTCCCTTCAAAAGGGAAATGGCCCCTTCAACCAGGACCCCCCCAAAACGTCAGGTTGCACGTTAATTGGTTGGAGGGTAACCATCCATCTTCTGCGCTTTTGTTTTAATGTCTCGAACAGGGAACCCCTTGATGGCTTTGAAATGGACACCAGGGAACTAAATGAAAAAAGAGCCCCCTAGTTTACACGATCCTCCATGAGTCTATCTTGCCCAAAAACATAGCGAATGTCTCTTCCGGTAAAAGCGCCTGAGAATCTCTCTGGGCAATCTCTTTGCAGTCTCTCTATGACATTCCTTTGTGCAATCAGAGAGATTGCTCTGAGAGATTGCTCCAGAGAGATTTCGGGTTACTGTGGGTGGACAAAAATCCATTTCGCACCTCTTTGAAACTGCGGGAAACCATTGTGTGTTGCTATTTACAGGGGAATCATCATGCCAGGGCTTCTTAGGTGGTGCAGGATTTCGTCCATCCACAGTATTTTGACAACAACTCCAAGGCCAAGTTCAAGCGCTTCAGCATGCTGATGGACGCTGAGCTCACCGGGCCTGGGCGCGAGAATTCGAATTGTTCGAGGGGATCTCGAGTCCAGTTGGGCGGCGCGTCTTGTAAGGTTGGGCCAAACACGGCTTCAGCTTGTCTCTTTGGTTTCCTTCGATCAAGGGGTTTCTCCCCACTTCTGTGATACAAGGGAATCCCCCTTTCTATTAACAAAATAGTCTTTGGGAAGCCCTTTCTATTGTATCACAGAAGTGGTCATTCCCCACAGCCCTGTTCAACACCAAGTAACCCATATTCGCCTGGTCTCGCGCAGTCAGCTGGCTCCGGGTAGTCGCATTGCAGCCAAAGTAGCAAGATGGCGGAGCAGGTCACAGACAGCATCAAGGGCGAGAAGGCGAGCGGGCGAGCGTGCGAGAGACGTTGCCGAGGGGTCCGTCAAACTCATCGCTTGGTCACCTATGCCTCTGCTGCCATGCGGGTAGAACCAACCCACCAGGCACATCACAGACCGGCCATTCGACACCTCTCGGCTGGATCCGCTGTTGGCGGCCTTGCAAGGCAAAGAATGTCTGTATGGCTATTTGGGTGTGGCTCAAAATTTAAGAGCTAGGCTTACGCAGGCGTTTTTTTCTGCTTGGATTGACCAAGGTGCCATTCTGGTACCACTTTTTTGAGCCACAGCCATTTGGCAATGGATTTATGGACTTTGACTTTTTGGGAAACAGTGGATTTTCCATGGGGCCCTCAAAATGTTCAACTTTTGCCGAGAGGTCAACAGCAATTCAGATGTGTAGCGGATGGTGGGATTATGACCTTTTTATAATGGGAGCCACTCTCCAAACAGATCGGGCGATTTGTTGTTCAAAAGTGAGGATTCCAGGAGGGGGGAACAGACCCCTATTGATCCACCAGGTGGATGAGACATTAAGCGGAATTCACGGTGTTCAATGGATTCTGGCTCGTGAACGGGGGTTGCCTAGGCTTAGAACATATTCCGCAATAGTTTGAATTTCAATTGGGACCCTTTGGTGAACCTGCTTAAGGATTTATGCTAGGGGCTGAATCAACATCTTCCTGAATGGGACACCTCCCTTTACCCACCCACCCATCCACCCACTTTCCAACCCACCCCAAAACCCCCTCCACCCACCCCAAACCCTCCTACCCTTTATTAGAATGGGCGTGGGTCAAAAATAGGTAGCCAACTGGGACCCTGGTAAATGGAAACAAGGACCAAAACCTGCGGTCCATATCCTGGTGGGGTCATTTTGACCCATACCCAAATCACCCAGTTGGTCCATCCTGGGTCCCTCCCCAAAACGCGGCTCGCCGCTTTTGGGGGCCGGGGCCCGGACTGCGGCCGGGGATCGAGGTGCAGTGCTTCGGGCGCAAGAAGACCTCCGTGGCCGTGGCGCTGGTGCGCACCGGCAGCGGCCAGGAGCGGAGCACGGACCGAGCGCCGGCAGCGGTCGGCCGGGGTGGATCGAGGGAGAAACCGATGTTGCTCGCCATGGGGTGCATAACCTATGGCGAGCCATGTTGGGGTGGATGAACATCCAAACAGCAACCTAATAATTTTGATGTTCACCAGGTAAAGCTAGAGGAATCTCCCAAAAGGACGGCTCTGGATTGTTTGGAGATTTGGCGGTGGTGGTCAAAATGAAGCAGGAGGGGCAAACCGCAAGTTTTGGTTTACATGTTTCCGCTTACCAGGGCAACCACCCATTTTGGAATTCCGCTTTTTTGAGCCACAGGCATTTGGCTGTGGTGGTCAACACCGTTTTGGTATCGATCCCATGTTGGTTGGGATTGGTGAATTCACCACCCATTTTAGGCTTCCTATTTTAGTGGTTGGATTGAATCGGATGTTTGGGGGTACGATTTGGCTTTGAAAAGCCCATGGCCATTTGGAGCCCCGGCAGAAAACAATTGGGGCAAAGCAGCATTGGTAGAGGTTGGGTTCCATGTGACGAGGTTGATCAAAAGGGGCCAGCGAATATGGGATGACCATTTGGTTGGAAAGAACCCCAAAGATGGATGTTTCCCAAATTGGCAAAGTTACGCATGGTACTTGGGGGCCAGGAATATTGATCAACCCCCAATCGACACATCTCCAAAAGAAGACGAGGAGGGCCCTCCTGGATGTTTTGTTTTGTTGTTTTCTCTTCAAGTCAAGTGGGTAATTTTTGGACTCGCAGTGACCCCTCCCTCTACTCCATTGGTGGCCGCGTGGAATTTCCATCACTTCAGACTTCCCGACCTCCGTAAGTACTTCAGAACTTGCTTGCCCCCGCGGGGCATGGGAAGAAAGGACATCCCTTTTTGGTTGCTTACATTGAAAGCGAGCCCCAACACCCAAACACAAAGAAGGGAAACACACAGCCAGCTGGCGCTTGGGAACACTCCCACGTCGGACCCCCCCCTCAAGAGGCCAACCCCAGGCGTCGCAAGCAGGTGCGCCTGAACGGCTGCCCGCTCCACACCGTCAAGCCGGACATTCTGCGTGTGAAGGTGCCCATCCGTTTTCGATCGAGCCGCATGGAGTTGGCTTGCAAAGATTTTTTTGAAAGAGCAGCCACGCAGACTTGGGAATGTTGAGGTGATCACAATCGACAATCTTGTCACTGACACTCTTGAAAGAGTACGCTGATGTATTGCACGCTCTACAGCCTCAGAAGATGTCATGTGTGAGTTTGTCTTTCTATGAGGGACCCCCAGAAAAAGTGGCTTTCCTTTGGTTCCTTTTAAGCCAACCTTTGTGAGGGGTACCTTCAAAAAGAGACACACCCATGTGCAGCGCTCAAGTTTCGAGGTCTATGAGCCTCTGCTGCTTTTGGGCAAAGATCGCTGCAGCAAGGAGGGGAGTTCCATGGCTCAGCAGCTTGTGGATTGAGCATTTCTTTGGGCGCTCAGTTTGCCAAACCACAGTCAGACCGGGCACAGCTCTTGCGCTCACGAATCGCAACGCATGTTGCCAAGCCACAACTGTCCACATTTGTCTCAAATCGACATCTCTCCCCAAAATGATGGGTTGCCGTTCCAGTTGTCTACAGGAAAGCACCAGCCAAAAGTAAAAAAGAGGACCCGGGGTAGCTCAAAAAGGACCCACTCGGACGGAAATCCGCCAGGTGGACATCCGCCTCCGCGTCAAGGGGGGCGGCTTCACTGGCCAGATCTACGCCTTGAGGCCCCTTTTTGGGTGGTTCAAAGGGGGTGGGTGGAGGGGGGGAGGAGGGGCGGTCAAAAGGGGGTGGGGAAGTGGAGTGGAGGGGGGAGGGGGGGGGGGAGGGGGGAAGGGGGGGAGGGTTGCAAGATTTCCGTTTTGTTTCCGTTTTTGTTTGGTTTAAAGAAGGAAGGGACACTGTGATGAACGGATGGTTTGAAGAAACTGGGTTCTCTCACCAAACGGTTTTGGGCGGTTTAAAGATTTCCTTTCGGTGAGAGAAGCCTCTTTGCGGAAACAGTTTTTAGTTTTTTGTTTTTTTTGCGGCACCCGGCTCGTATTGTTTGGAGGGAATTCCCGAAGAACCCACCCATACATCTTGTTCGGTTTGGGCCCTTCTTGTTTTAAAGAGCGGGGTTTTCGGCATTTTTGATACGCAGGGGTCTTCTGATCGGCCCGGCCCGGTTGTATTTGTGAGGAGCCAGCTTCGTCGTGACGGCTGGTTTTCCTTCTTGTGCACCTTGCTAAAGGCATCTGGCACTGTTTGACTGTAGCCTTCATTTGGTGATGAAGGTACAGGCTTTGCACTGACCTTTTCAGACTCGAAAAAAAAATCCGGAAGATGGCCGAGCCCACGTGGGCTCCCCAGGCAAGCCATCGCCAAGGGCATCGTTGCCTACTATCAGAAGTACATCGACGAGGCTTCCAAGAAGGCGCGGCAGCATCACCGGGACTGGGTTTTTTGGACGGGTGACTTGGGGTTCAGAGTGTTTTTTTTGGTTCTTGTGGGTAAATGAGGAAACCACCCCCAAGGCACCAAACCAATCCAAACCGCCACTCAGTGGGAGGCTGATTGTAGTTTTGCTGGTCGAAGGTTGTTGGTCGGGCGTGCGGCGGTTAGGTCCTTTTGCGGCAGTGTCCTTCTTGGCAGGAAATCAAGGACATTCTGATGGCTTATGTGCCGAGCTCAGCGAGAAGTCAGCCATCCTGCCAGAACAGCACTGATGGCTAGGAGGCAACTGCCGGTTCTTTCAGTTTGAGCAGCTGTACATGTGCTTGCTGACATGCGCCATGCTGAAACGCATCCCATGGGTCGCTTGGAGCCAAGCATACCTTTTTAGGTTAGTTTGATTAAACATAGATGTCACTGGTTTACTTGCGGGTTTCTTCCATTTACCAGGCAAATTCATCTGTTTTTGGTCGAAAGGCCACCCCACCCCACCACCCCCCCCCCCATTTCTGGGTGGTGTCCCCAAGGCTTCAATTGAAAACCAACCAACCAACGAGTCTCATGCCCCTTTTCTCCAAGCCAAACCGCACCCAGTTCCCGGGACCGATCAGTTTCCATGCCGCCACCAACGAGTTTCATGCCCCTCGTCTCCCCCCAAAAAGCGCCGCGCCCACCTCTTTGAGATGGGCCAAGCCCAGGACCGATCTCTGATCGTGGCCGACCCTCGGCGCTGCGAGCCCAAGAAGTGCCTCCCGCCGAAACGACCCATGTTGGGCGTGGGGAAACGGTTTCCCCGGAGAACAGCCCGGGTATGAGGCAAAATTGGGTCACCAGGATATAGCTATGGTTCAAAACCGTTTGGGGATCCCATTTTGGTTGGTAGGTGAATTCACCACCCATTTTAGAACCTATTTTAGTGGTTGGATTGGGATGTTCACTGGGGGGACGGGGTTTTGACCCATGGCCATATGGACCGCAGGTCCTGGTCTTGTTTCCATTTACCAAAGTTCCATTCCAGGTACCTAGTTTTGGCCCACACCCACCCGGTTTGGAGGATTTTGTTGAGGCAAGCCCATGTCTTTTTGCCTGGGTCCTTTGACGCCCGAAGGGGCTCAACTTTGGTCTGGGACTGGATCGAATCGTGCCGCGCAGCTTCCTTGGCGGCTCAAAGCACCGAACACGGGAAGTGCCACGACGCTGTGCGAGAGAGGACTGATTTTGAACCCTTGGATTGGACAATGCGCTTGGTATGATGCAAAGCGTTTCGTGCGAGACCTAGCTCGGCCCTGAAAAGAAGGGCAGGCATGCTACGCGATGACCACTCACTACTCATGGCTTGCTTTCTCTCCATTGAGAAAGAGCAGCTTGTGCGTGTAGGTGGGAGCAATCAAGATCCAAGAGTTCCAGGGATGCAACTTCAATTGCATTCAATGGGGGTGTGCCAGAAAATCACCCCCCTTTTGGGTGGTTTACAAAAGGGAGCCAGAAAGAGATCAGATCAAAGCCGACAAGAAGCCCAATTTTAACCAAAAGCTAGCTAGAAGTCCAAGCGTAAAGCAGAGGAAACTCCACGGAGACCAAGCTCCCAATGCGCGTGGCTTTTGTTCAGGACAGTATGGCTGCAGTCCTCAATGAGCTGGTCACGAACTGCGACTACCAGGGCTTGAAGGCGCTTTGCGAAGCAGCATGCGAAGGTTGTTCAAAAAGGGGGGATGTTTTTTGCCGGACCCTGGCGTGACTCTTTTCAAAAGGGAAAATGAATGGCACTGGTGGTCCAGGAATAGGATTCCTTTTGGACATCCATGTCTTGGTGGGGTGATGTAATGAACTCTTGGACCATTGCTGCGATGTATGCCGTAGCATCGCACGCGAGGCCGCCCTTGCTGACATGAAGAAAGAGGGCGTGGATCTGGCGGACAGCTTTTGCTTGATTTCACGGGTTGTTAGACGCTCGTTGCATCCGTAGACTTGCTGGGAAGGAGAAATGGACTGCCCCCTATAAACCATCCATCCTATGGTTTCCTTTAAGGGAATCCCTAGGTTCATTCCCAAAACCCTGGGTCATTCCCTACCAACCTTTCAACCGCAGACACGCCGCATCCGAGCGAGGAGGAAGTGACCAGCCATGAGTTTGGTCGACGTGGGGCGCGGCTGCTGGGCCAAATGCACGGATCGCGCAGCGATTTGGCCATGGGTTGCATCACCTATGGCGAGCCATTTTGGGGTGGATGAACATCCATTTGCTATCTATTTTGATGTTCACCAGGGGTACCATTGGGTTTTGACCACCACAGGCATTTGCGTAGGCAAGTGTGGCCCCGTTCCTGCTCTTTGCCTGGCGGGGGCTCTTGTTTGCACTCGCCAAGCTGCAAGGAACATTCTATGCCTTGAACACTTATCCGCATAGCGACACAGGTCAGGCCGAGCACTCTGAATTTGTTTGCCTGTCAGTCCAACAGCTTGTCCTTGCAACCTCATACTCAAGTCCCCTCTCAAAAAGAGCCCGCAAATCAACCACAGGTTCAACCCCGAATTCCCACTACAAACGGTCTTAGACCTCCCCCCAAACACCCAATCGAAGTTTCAACTGAGATTGGGTTCCCCAAACGAACCTTTCCCTCCTCACCCCCCAACTGAAACCAGCAAACCGCCCAAAACGTCGAGAGTCGATGCGTGTCTTCCACCCGAAAAACCCAACAAACTCCGCCGGCGCCGGGTGGTCTGCCGCCCACCGCGCCTCAGCCGTCCCGAGATCCCCGCTGCACGCCGCCGCGGTGCGGGGCCGCGCGGAGCTGCTGCAGCTTCTGCTCAGCACCAAGGCGGGCGGGCGAAAGCGAAGAGCTGTGGTTTGGTCAAAACAGTTGAACGGGATCGATCCCATTTTGGTTGGGATTGGTGAATTCACCAGTTTTGGGATCCCATTTTGGTTGGGATTGGTGAATTCACCACCCACTTTAGAACCTACTTTGGTGGTTGGATTGAATCGGATGTTCACTGGGGTGTGGCTGAAAATGAAAGAGCAAATGGGTTACGCGGTTTAGCCTTTGTTGCCATTTACCAGGGCAACCCATTTTGGGTACCCATTTTTGACCCACAGCCAAATGAGCCACCATCAAAACCCGGGAAGATGAAGGTTAAAGAAGGACAATCCCCTTGCCATAAATAGCTGCGGATATCCGGCTTCTTGATTCTTTACATAGCTCTGGGTAGACCATTTTAATACCGGGTTTTGATTATGACTCAAATGGGCGGGGTGCCCTAAATGAGTCACAAGCAAAACCCGGCTGGCGGCTGATGGCAGCCTTTGGCGCAAAACCTGGGGGCTCCTATCCAAAGCTATGTGAGCCACGTCCTCAAAACCGATTCGGGCAAGTGAAGGTTAGAGTCGACGATCCCCTTGCCATAAACAGCTGCGGATATCCGGCTTCTTAATTCTTTACTTGGTGGTCGACCATTTGAATACCGGGTTTCCATTGTGACTCAAGTGGTGCAAGAGGTTGCCCTGCTACGGGCTTGATATCAATCTTCCCATAAAGGGTCTCCAGTTTTGACAATGGGCAACTTGCCAACATCCAGCATTTGACCTCACCTTGGAAAGGGAACGGACAAGGAAAGCCATTCAGTGCATATCAGCTTGAGCGCAGATAGTCGGCTTCGAAGTCTTTTGTGCAAGGCGGACCCCAACGCCTCCGACGATGCCGGCACCACCTGCCTCCATTTTGCTTCCGACTTGGGCCATTCACGCGTGGCGCCGGGATCCCAGAGCGGGAGGCATCTGCGAGACTTTGCCCGGCGGTCACCCGGGCACATGACCAATTGAATAGGCCACACTATCGGTTGGAGTGGAGCCACTGTAATCGTCTAAACATTGTTCGTGTTCAACATGGACACACCTGCAGTAGTTTGTTCAGGCAATGCATAGCTTACTGCTTCAGTTGCTTCTTCACTTGTTGCTTCACTTGTTGCTGACCTTGAAACAACCTGTATAGCAATGTTGTGCTGCCGTGCCCTGTTGTAGAGTAACATGATGGTCGACGTGACTCCCTCGAGTTTGCAAACAGAATCCCAAATAATTACACAGAGAGAATCAAGCAGCTCCCGGCTCTCTGATACCAGCACCAGCCAGTGGCTTTCACAGGCAAGTTGACATTTGGGGATTGCACTTGAAGGTACTAAGTACTATGGGTTACTCGTTGAATGACGTGTTGGTTCTGGCGCGTTGTTCGCTACAGCAAGAAAAACATGATCGTCGAATTCTGAGCTTGTCAAGTGCTCGGGTCACTTTGGTGAGCTGATCTTGGAGCAATCCGAACTGCGAACCACTGGTCAGGATGGCAGCCTAGGTGTCTGTCTGGCATTGCACAGTAGTGAAAGTCATAGCGCTGGCAACCAACGCAAATAAGCTAAGCCATGAACATGACATGTCGAAATCAGAGATCTTTCTCCCACCTTTGACTCGTTCCTTGTGACAATCTTTTGCCAAACACTTCAAACAGAAGGTTCCTTCTGGTGGGTGTCACATGTTGAAATCAGAGCCCCCAAAACCGTGCCTGTTGCTGGCTTTGTTATGGTGAGTTTCACATGTCGACACTGCTGGGCATTTCAAATAGCTGAGGCTCAAAAAACGTGTACCAAAATGGTGCCCTGGTAACGGGAACCAACAGCTAAAAATCCAGCATAACCCCGGCTCTTTACTTTTGAGTCACAGCCAAATGGGTGTGGCTCAAAATTAAACAGGAGGGGTTACGCAGGTTTTGGTCCATGTTTCCACTTCCCAGGGCAACCCATTTTGGAATTCCGTTTTTTTTTTGAGGCCACAGCCAAACCAGGGGACCGCAGAATTAGTCCTTGTTTCCATTCACCAAGGCAACCCATTTTTGGTACCGTGTTTTTTGAGGCCACACCCAAATGGAGTGCCGGTCGGGTCACAACCTATGCCTCCATTTTGGCGGATGAACACCCATGTACCACCTATTTTGATGTTCACCAGGGGTTTCCTGGTTTTTGACCCGCAAAATGGGTGCCCGTTGGGTCCAAGCCAGCTTGGCTTTCAGGTGCTACCTGCTCCAGGCGGGCGGCGACCCGAGCCGCCGCAACGGCTTCGGCAGCAGGCGCGAGAACGAAAAAGCGAGTGAGCTGATCGGCAAGTCTGGGCAAGAACGACTCTCCAAGGCTACAGGAGATGGGATGGGCCACAGGAGATGGGGAGAGGGATTCCGGCAAAAGCTACAGATGGAGTTTTGGCCACTCCAAGGGTTGGGTTACAGGCAACATCTACTCAAAGGCGGGGGGTTTCACAATGGCCCCAAAACACGGGAAGCAAGCTGTTTTCCTGTCGAACTTCCCAACTGTCGCTCAACCCTGTGAAACTCCACTTTGTCTACCAGCGCCCCCTGTATTTCCTCTCATTGCAGACATGCCGTGCATCTCAACCGATCAATTTCTTTCAAAGCTAGTGGCAAAGGAACTGAACAGGGACCTCATGGGGCGTTGCCACAAAACTAGGGCCTTTTTTTGCATTTTCTTTGAAAGGCGGCACCTTGGGCGGCACCAGGGACTGAGTGAGGGTTTGCCATCAAATGCCATGTGCTGTCGGCTCTGCAGGCCAACTGACAAGCTGGTGAGCAATAATTGGGACTCCGAGGCGGGACCACTGGAGACGTCACTTAGGAGAAACTGTCGCTGATGCAACCTGGAGCAAAGCATGGAGAAAGCCACGGTGTGTTGTGGACTGGTGGAAGTGAGTGGCCTTTTCGAGTTTCCAAGTGCTGCCGGCGAGTTTTCATTTTTTCTCTTTGTGCAACGCCGTTTCTTTTGGGGTGGTCTTGGTGAGCTTGCAAGTGCTGAAAGTTCTCGGCAGAGCAGACTTCCTGAGGACGTCCTTGAGGGCAAAGAGCAGATTCGGCGGCTGATCGGAGGCATTGCTACGGTTTCGGGACTGGTTACTTGCTTAGTTGCCTAGTTACTTTATGAGTTGATTAGTTGGTCAGTTGGTTTGTATGTATGTTTGTTTCTTTTGATTTGATTGCTTTGGTGTTGTGTTTTGCTTGCTCTGCTGTGCTTGCTTTGCTTTGCTTTGCTTTGCTTTGCTTTGCTTTGCTTTGCTTTGCTTTGCTTGTTTGCTTGCTTGCTTGCCTGGCCGGCCGGCCGGCCGGCTGGCTGGCTGGTTGGTTGGTTGGTTGGTTGGTTGGTTGCCGGCTCGCCCGCCCTGCCGCCCGCCCGCCCGCCCGCCTTCCTGCCTATCTGTCGGTTGGTCTGTCTGTCTGTCTGCCTGTCTGCCTGTCTGCCTGTCTGCCTGTCTGCCTGTCTGCCTGTCTGCCTGTCTGCCTGTCTGCCTGTCTGCCTGTCTGCCTGTCTGCCTGTCTGCCTGTCTGCCTGTCTGCCTTTCTGCCTTTCTGTTTGTCTCATTCCTTGTCTTTTTGCTTTTTTGCTTCCTTGCTTTCTTGCTTTCTTTCTTTCTTTCTTTCGTTCTTTCGTTCTTTCTTTCTTTCTTTCGTTCTTTCTTTCTTTCCTTCTTTCTTTCTTTCTTTCGTTCTTTCGTTCTTTCTTTCTTTCTTTCTTTCTTTCTTTCTTTCTTTCTTTCTTTCTTTCTTTCTTTCTTTCTTTCTTTCTTTCTTTCTTTCTTTCTTTCTTTCTTTCCTTCTTCTACTGACAGGCTCGCTTTTGGTGCTTGTGTTCATGGACATCTGCAGAAGTGTATGGTAGCACACTCGGTTGCTGTCTTAATCCACTGGTTGATCAAAGGTTTTATGAATATGGGATGACCATTGGTTGGAAAACCATGAAAAGACGATGTTTCCCACAGGAACCCCACTAAAAGAGGAAAGCCATGAAAAAGAGAATCTTTCCCCCCACAAAACACACACTGAACAGATTTCAAGCACTGAAAGGGCCAAGTTCCCCATGGTCAGTGGGTCCGAACTTGAATATTGCTCACCCCCCATGCGAACTCAGCGCAAGGCGAGCAGATCCCCTTTCAGCTCCTGCGCGAAGAACCGGAAGCACCGGCCCCTCGTCGGGGGAAATGTGCCAGTGGGCCTGGCGGCTTTTGGCTGTTTTGGCCATTGGTGCAGGCGGTAGCCAGGAAAGAAAAGTTTGGATTGGGGGTCTATGGCTCCTTGAAGCGTCGAGTGCCAAGGACAAGACCGTCACATCGCCCAGCCACCGCCGCGGCGGTGCGTGAGCCGGCTCAGAGGCAAAGTCTTTTCAGAGGAATTTGCAAGCTGCGCAAGTGCGCCGCCAGTTTCGCCTTGGTGGTCCTAGGTTCAGTGAAAACATCCAGCAGCCTACGGTCAATTTGGGACCTCAGTAGAGGACTCGCTAATTTTCCTAACTCCCTTTGCGAGAACTGCGTATTTTGACCATTGCTCTTGCGTGTCTCGAATTGTCAACCCCTCCCTTCCCAAGTCACCTCGACTTGGAATACAATTTCAGTGGTGCATACACCCACATTTGTCTGACACGAGAGAAATAGGTTTTGCCACCCCCTTTGGTTGGTTCCGTGAGGAAACCAGGGGGGGGATTTCATTTTGGAGGAGCAAACAACCTGTTGGCGCACATGCACACACACACAAATAATGTTGGAGCCAACACCCAAACTTGCATCAGTCCTGAGCAGGCAAGGAAGCCTCAACATTTGTTAGGTAGACTCCTTTGGTGCTGGGTTTTGAGTGTGACTCAGGTGTAGCAAAGGAGAGTTTCTGGCATGTGTTGAGGCTCAAAGCAGGCGGCAGCCAACAGCAGTGCATGAATGGGGCGGTACAATCCCGAGGAATCGGCTATCACGACAACAGGGAATTTCACAACATTCCTTCTTTTTTAAATTTGTGCTGTTGCTACCCAAATCTCAAGTTGTCGGGATGACCGTCCCGTCCAGAAACTCTGGACTCCAGACGCCTTTTCGGTGTGTTGCTGCCTATTTGTCCCTTCGGTTTTTCCCCCAGCTTCTCGTTTGGCACAAAAGGGCTACTTTGGGGCAGTTGCTAGCGCTGGGGCTTTGGAGTGGCAGATTTCTGATTTTAATTCACTGACTCGTGACGAGTTGCACAGAATCTTCGCCAGCGTGGTCAAACCTGTGCAGATTGTATCCGTTGCACTGCAGTCCGGCTTGACCATGCGAGCGGCAATTTTACCCCGGATGGGGAGCGTCGGGTAGAAACCGAGCCTTGAGTCACCCAGTGGTCCCAGCGAGAGATCTTGCGCAAGGGACCATTCGGGTATCCTGGCCAATACCCTCGGCTTTTGTACCTTTGAACTCATAGCCTGAACCAGTGGCGACAGACGCGGGTGCACAGAAGTTGCAGCACGTGACCAATTTAATCTCGCTTTGCACCGCCCCCGTCGCTACTGCTTCGGGCGCTTGATACACACCATGCAGGTGGCATTGAGACTGATGTTTGGCTTGGCGACGAGAAAAATGGCTCCTGCCATTGCTGAGTCGAGAGATGCATTTGCGCAACTTCTTTTTTTTACAACAGTCTAGATTATGTTTCATGGCTGTTGGTGTGGGTTCTGGCCTTTTTGCAGTCGTTTTATATAATACATACATAACACACAAAATACTATCCCTTTGTATCCTATGGAAGGAACATCAAAGGCCCATATCAATGGCCCTTGTATGCTTCTCTAGATTTCAAGTTTTTTTTCTTCTTCTCATTAAAACAACCAGAACAAACAAACACAAAAGCAAACATATCCAGAGCTGACAGGGTCGCAGAGATAGCTCCGCGCAGGTTCGGCGGCCGCTCCGCCCGCGCTCGCTTCCAGAAGTCCTACCGCTGAGGCAGCGGAAGGAAAGCTGGTCGGCTGGACAGCCACGGAGCAACCCATGGCATGGATGAAGACAGCCACCGAGGTTTTTTTGGTTTGGAGGGAGCTTCTTGTTTTTTGTGGTTGTAAAGGAAAGCCCAAAGGAAGTCAACTTCTGTTTTGTGGTTTAAAGGAAAAACTAAGAGGAAGCCAACCATTTTGGGGGGGTTGATGAATAATTCCTTCAAAACTTTAGGGCCCCCCAATGACCATGGGCAACATTATCCATGTGGGACGTATTATTTGTCTAGTGGTTGTCCAATGGTCATCCCATAGTCATCGGACCTTCTGATCAACCCTCACATGGAGGAAGACAGCAACAGAGAGCGCTACCATACAACCGACCAGTGGCATGAAGCTGACCAGTGAAACGGGAGCGACGGGAGCGAAGGCTGCAGCATGGCTGAAAGCGAAGGACAAAGGATGCGCAATCCTGCACCTGCCAATCGTCCTGTCTTGGCAACAGCTGTCCCTTTCACGTTTTGAGCATCCTTTTCTTTTTTTCTTCCTTGCTTCCTTGCTTCCTTTCTTCCTTTCTTCCTTTCTTCCTTTCTTCCTTTCTTCCTTTCTTCCTTTCTTCCTTTCTTCCTTTCTTCCTTTCTTCCTTTCTTCCTTTTTTTCCTTTCCTGTCCTTTCCTGTCCTTTCCTGTCCTGTTCTGCCGTGACCTCTTTCCTTTCCTGTCCTTGCCTTTCCTTCTTTTCCGCCGATCGAACCACCGGCCCAAAAACCGAGGTTCTGCGCCTTCCTGGGGGGAGCCGTGGCACAAGAGGTCATCAAGAAGACGGGGAAGTGACCCAAGCGGAGCTCGCAGCCCTCAGATTAGAACTGAGAGGCCTGGCGTTTTCGGCTTCAAAGCAAAGACCTTTCTGGGGCTACCACCGGAAAAAATTGCCCTCACGGGAGTGGACGTTTTCTTTTCCGGTCACGGCACGTCAAATGGCTAAAACCGTTTTGGGATCCCATTCTGATTGGTAGATGAATTTTCACCACCCATTCTAGAGCCTATTTTAGTGGTTGGATTGAATCGGATGTTCACTGGGGGTACGATTTGGATTTTGAAAAGCCCATGGCCGCATGACTTGGAACCCCAAATGGACCCCCGCCCTCACAAAAGCCAAGGGTTCCAAGTCAAGTTGAATGACTTGAAACCCCATTTGGGACCCCAACTCGTCAACGCTCGAGACGAGCGTCTAAAAACATCTGTGGCTTCTCGGCGCACACGCCGTAGTCTGTATGGTGCCTTGGTTGAGCTCCCCTACTGTACGTGGACGAAATCCATTTCGAACCACCTAGGAAACGCGGGAATGATTCGATTCCCCAAGGTAAATACCAACGCTTCAACGTGGTGGCGAAATGGATTCGAACATCCACAGCATTGCTCGTGCACAGTCGCTTGAGAAATTTTCTTCAACACCTTGGCAGACAGGAGGATGGCATCCGAAGAGAAGCATAGACTATTTGAGCCACATTCAAAACCCGGGTGATTATTTGAATGGTTTTGGGTTCACCAATTTTGTACCGGGTTTGATTGTGACCCAGTTGCAGCTGGCTGAACTCGCAAAACAGAGGCGACTGCCGCAGACAGAGCATGGAAGTGCAAGGGCGATCAGCCCCCAGCAAACTTTTCTAGCTTCTGTCCGTGCCACTTCTGCAAGCACTGCGCCGATTTGGCATGTGAGAATTCAGGTACCTACCCATTGAGCAGTGGGTGCACCATGTCAGCCACTCAGAGTCGGCCTGTGAGGGTTTGTTTTGCAAGCGACTCACACAGCTTGCCTTGCACGCCTTGGATCCTGAACCGACGTGAGCAGGGCACGCGCCAGTCAGCGCTTAGGATGATGCCAGTCTGGTGCAAGCAGGGGCGAGCTTGGGAGAGTATGCCGGGCTCGGAGCCCGGAGTCGTCAGTAGTCGAAATCCTTTCTGTGCCTTCATGTTCAACCAAAAAGGTCTCACAAGGGGGGGAGTACAACCAAAAAGGTCTCACAAGGGGGGGATTACAACCAAAAAGGCCTCACAGGGGGGGGGGAGGGAATTAGTACATGAACCCCTCGGCCAATTTGCTGAAGGACGCGATATGCGTACCAGGCAGCTGCGGGGTCCTGAGACAGAGAAACGAGGAGCGTCGCCGGTCGGCGCGCTTTGCGGGAGCCGGGGATTCCGCGGGTTGAGGTGTCTGTTTTAAGGTTTGGACCTTGCAAAATGGCTTCGGGTGTCCTTTTGTGTCTCCCTTTAAAGCCAACCAAAACGAGGTAATTACAAAGCCCCCCAAAAAAAGAGCCGACGCCCAGGTCATGGGCCCCAGCTTCATGGACAGCATCAAGAAGCAACGGGTGCCCGTGCACAGATCAGAAGCCACGCCATGTCCCGGTCCAATTTGCTGTGCAAACAAATTGCCTTTGGTCTATTCCTTTCCCTGGAATATGTTGGTTCCATTTGGTTCCATTTGGTTGTTGGCTGGGACCCCCTTCAATCAACTGATTTCCCTTTGGGTTGCTCCACCAGAAGAGAGTTCCCATTTTCATCCTCCCCCCTACATTCAAACTGCCTAGAACCTCCTAATGGGTTTCCCGAACATCCGCCACCCCAATTTTCGGATGGCAAACCCATGGCAAGACTCTCGCGGGCGGCTTCCGCCGCGCGTCGCGCGTGCTGAGCTCTTCCTGGTGGGCTGCGGAGCGCTGGGCTGCGAGTACCTCAAGGGTCTCTCGCTGATGGGCGTGGCGCTTATGCCCCGAGGATGGCCTCGCCTTGCGGCCAGAAGGTTGAGGGAAGCACCACCAGACCACCAAAAACCCACCTCTTTTTGAGGGAACCACCAGGTACACCAAGGTTCTGCAAGGGAAGCACTTGGCTTTCGGGCGATTTCGGTGGATCTGTGGACACTTTTGGTTGAAGCAGCGCGGAGTTTCCGCATTGGAGCCACAAAAAGTGGAACTTTTGCAGAGTGGTCAACAGCAACCAAGTGGTTGGATGGCTTTAGAACGAAAGCCCGTTCAGAAGCCAACCACTTGGCCATGATCAAACGACCAGTTCCTTTACTTTTGGTTGGGACGGTCATCAACCTTCGGGGTGAAGATGAGGCCATGACTCACAGACGTTTTGACCATAGCACATATGCTAAGAGGAGTTGACAGGAGACAAGGGAAGCAGATTGAGGTGCTTGCAGTGGCCCGGGGGGCAAGCTGATTGTCACCGACATGGACAGGATTGAGGCCTCTTGGACTGTACATGCTATTGTCGCAACAATCTAAAACAAGCCTCTGCGGTTCAATGTCCTGTAAACAGCTACACCCCTTGGTGGGTCAAAATTAAAGCACCAGGGGACCGCACATTTTGGTCCATGTTTCCACTTACCAGGGCAACCCATTTTGGG